CAATATCCCAGGTGGTTTTAATTTTATTGTTTGATTTTAGAATTTGGCTGTTATAGTTATTCTGTTTGGCTTCTTTAATGACTTTTGACAAAATTTTACAGTACATTTTGTAGTGACTTTTTAGTCTTGGATCATTACTGTCCCTACTGGCCAAATATAGTTGTCTTTTGTGTTTACATGAAGTTTTTATTCCAATTGTTATCCAGGTGGATTTGTTTTTATTTTCATTTTTGACTATTTTTAAGGGAAAGCTTGAATAAAAGATCCTCAAGTATGTGTTCAGAAAGCAATTAAATTTAGAATCAATATTATTGCTGTCAAATACATTGTCCCATGATTCATTACTTAATTTTGTGACAAAATCTGCCATCGTATGCTTGTTGATTTTCCTTACTGTTTGATATTGTTGATTACTGGGCTGAAGGTCAATATTATTTATTTCTATGAGTTGAGCATCATGATCGGATAAGCCATTTATAAAGGGTCCTACAGTATAGTCTCTTAATTTTGAGTTATCAATGAATATATTATCTATCGCTGAACTAGAATTATTTTGAACTCTTGTGGGAAAGTTAACAGTACTGGAGAGATTGTAAGATGATAACAAAGAGTCTAAATTTAGTTTCCTATTACTGTCGATGAGATAGTTTATATTTATATCACCACAAATTATAAATTCAACTTTTGAACTATGCAGTACATTTAGGATGGTTTCTAATCTATTTATAAAGTGATTGAAGTTTCCAGATGGGGCTCTATATAAAGTCAGTATACAAATATTAGAAAAAGGAGAGTCTAACTTTAGAGCACATGCTTCCAGATCCTGGTCTTTGCAATAATCTTCTAAATTTATTTTAGTAAATTTTAGGTTTTCATGTACAAAAATACTCACTCCTCCTTTCTCCAGTGTTTTCCTACAGTATCTAGCACCTAAATTATAATTTTCTAAGTGAAGATGTTCTAATTCCAGCTGTTTCATGTGATGTTCAGTAAGGCACAGTATGTGTGGAAGATTTGAATTCATGGAGCTTATTAGTTCATTTGTTTTGTTTCTCAATCCTCTTATATTCTGATGGAATATTCTTAGTACTTTATTATTCACTGAATTTAGTAGACTGCAATTACCTTTTCCGATTTCTATTGATGAGTCGTACATTCAGTAAAAGAATATCAAACTCAATGAGGTACGCAAAACCACGAAGGAAATGTTCAGAAAATGTATTCATTTCTGTCACTGACAGTTAATAAACAATAATCAAATGCTGAAATATCTATTGTGTTCTATCGACAGCACACACTGAATAAAATTATGGAATATTGCCTGAGGAACTCAGAGCTGTGTTGAGAACTCTCATATATTTTTACACTGTAAATCCCAAAAGGCACATATACGAAATGGAAATCCAGCAGTCAGTGGCTGATTATTATGTCCTTAAGCTTATTACGTCAGCAGCATTCCCACATTCATTTTCCTTTAAGTTAATTTATGCATGTATTACACTTTGTTACATGTTGAAATTGTGCAAACATTTTAGTAACTGCATATAGAATAAACACCAATTTATACATGCTATGTTCTCACTCAGTCAATCATGGAGCTGAGCCATTCTTGAGAAGCTGCCAAGTGTGCAGTTACTCAAGAACTTCCCAGCATTTTATGGCATCTGAAAGTTCCATGTTCACAAGAGTCCTCCACTGGTCCCTATCCTGAGTCAGACGAATCCAATCCATACCATCCCATCCTATCTCTCTAAGATCCATTTTAATATTGTCCACCCACCTATGTCTTTGTCTTCCCAGTGGTCTCCTTCCTTCCGGCTTTTCCACCAATATCCTATATGCATTCCTCCTCTCCCCAATTCATGCTACAAGCCCTGCCCATCTCATCCTCCTTGACTTGATCTTTCTAATTATACTTGGAGAAGTGTACAAGTTATGAAACATATATACGCTATATTCTACTTTACAAATCTCTTTAATTAAATCAATGTTGCAGACAGTTGTGGGAACTCATGAAAACAGCAAGAAAGGTTGATATATCTGATTAAAAATGAACACTGAAAGTAGCTGGCAGCACTGGTAACGGCAGTCCAATATGACATGCACCTGAGTTCTACAAAGCATAGCAAGCACACTTCGCTTCTGCAGCAACTACAAGCACAACTTATTAATTTCATATTTCAAAAACATACTACTATGCCAATCTCAACAATTTTTTGATGAAAGCTAACTTAATTCTTAAGATTTGAGGGTCTCATGGCAGTGAGCATGAAGATTACTGATTCTGGAATGTGATGCAGTGTAGCTTGGTGGCCACACACCAATATTCTGGAGGAATCTGCTACCACCATCAGCAGGGTGAAAGGTTCACACCCCTGAAGACCATAACCTTAAGAACTTATTTGCCTCTGATTTCAATAACATAGCAAGAAATTGTAAGTCATTTAGTTCTAGTCATCAAGTGAGTCTCAAACAGAAATTCAATAAAATATCATGTACAATCATGTTTATGGATATGCCACGTTAAACATTAACTTATGATAAATAATTCTAGCATCTGCATTGTGACAAACTATTTCTCTCTTCAATTTACTTGCACTTAATTTTTACTATTAACATAAAATCATGTAACTGTGTAATCCCAGAAATGTGTTCATTAAAATCTGTTTTATAACAACCACAAAAGTGATAATCTCCTTTGATTCAGGTCTTGTGTACTACATCTGCATTGCAGAATTTTCCTAGTTCTTCCCAGTTACTCTGGAGTCCAATATTTGTCTCCATGATGAATATCCAAATACTTCGGAAAGGAATCCCTTCGACATTATCAAAGGCTAATGTAGAAGACCCAGTGGATGGGCAGTATTTTTCTAAGAGCTTCAATGACACAACCCTATTTTGCCTGCAATATTTTCTGAAACATGTGATTCCACTCCAACAATACTAGTTCAAACAGCATTGCCAACATATCAGTAGCAAGAATGCCTCTTCTCTGCATATGAGTATATGGAAATAAATATTCATTTCCTAAAATGTGGAATTTAAATCTACATGTATCAGGAACCTAGAAGAAGCCAATGTGATAATTTCATACACTGGAACATAAATGGACAAATGCACCACACTGAACTGAATGTGGCAGGAGGAGGTGCTGCCATCTTGCGCATGTGCACAATGACCACAACGTGTACATGCAAAGCTGCGAGACTCTCATACATGTTGCAAACACTGTTTCACTACCTGATACAGAAACAGAAGACAAGGAGCCGAAGTTGTGAACACGCGCAGTAAGGTCTCAAAGTTTCGCTTGTATCCTCTGCCACTAATTATACTGCTGCAACAACCTCAAGACTAACTTGTATACATCAGGTATAATGAAAGTGTTACTAGTTTCAGTGACACTCACCTTCTCCTCTGCAATCCCTGCTTTATTAAAACAGAACATACTTTTCACTTGAGGAATGAGTGTATCTTCATCCCATGCCATAATATATTTCAAAGTCAGAGTAACCATGCTCAGCTGTGTTTCAAGCTACACAACAATCTCCATCCACCACAATAGTTTGCATCTGAACGCATATATCTAGTGCTCAATTCTTCTATTAACTTGCAAATTCTAGCAATACCAAGTGCAGCAATTTACTTTAGTATGGAGGTTCTACATTTACAAATGACCATACATGTGCACATATATTAAGAAACATGAATCCTAACTTTTTACAGAACACAAAAAAGATAAAATTATTTTCACATTACCTGGAGAGGATAGAAGAGCGTGGTAACTCACCATGTGCTGGAACTTGACCCCCAAAACTGTCTATATCTATTCCAGAAAGGACTAGGAAGATGGGTTTTGGAACACAGAACAGGCATTAGATGAAAATTAAAAGGGGGGGTGGATATAGAAATTTTACAAACTGGTGTTGCTTTCATAAATTTAAATGACAGGAAATTCAAAACATTTGTCATTAACTAGGTAAGTGAATGGCGTGTTGGCCTGCCATGCCACAAAGAGTACGTTGCCAATAAATTCATGTTTAGCTGCAGTAATATATCTTTGGTTACATCTCAGATGTAGCAAGGATGGATTAATTACAAAGCACAGCATGCATCCTATCCAGATAACCACTATCTCTTTACTTTCAAGCTGAATGAACGTCCAATAATTTACTTACTAAACTCATTTACTCAGAGAAGTGGTGCAGTTGTACAGAAAAGCTAAATGCATACATATCTTTATCATTCTGTTTCACTGTTCATTTAATGCTGCTGCATCAACTATAGATATTATGCAATACACATAATATGCTAAAATGGATTGTGACCACAACTGGTTGACTGATGGTGGTGGGAGAAAATGTTACCTACTTCAAGGTATTATTCTGGAATTTGCTGGAAAGATTGAGGAAAACCACAAGAGACCTCAGAGAGAGCACCAGAGCCCTCAAGTGATGAACTGATCTGTGCAATTATTTCAACATGATGAAGGATTGCTGCTACTTGTATATTGCAATGTTCAGCTTATCTTTAAAACAGGGCAAATGCAAGGGACCTGAGGCTCCCACAGCAGCAAGTGTTCAGATTCTGGTCTTCTGCTATGTAGTCTGGTAGACAGAAACTCGCTGCCTCCAGCCCCACGGGACCCTGAAAATGCTGGTAGCCAACACCTAAACTACATGGCCTCACATCACAGAAGACAGTGATCAGAGTGCAGCAGCATACTGCACCATGTTCTAGTGACAGAGATGTAAAAACTTCAGCATTTGCCTGAACTCACAGAAAATCAACTGAGAAACCTCAGCATTTGCCTGAACTCACAGAAAATCAACTGGCAGGATACAGGTACCCAAATTTTATCATTTCCATAAAACTCCAAGCAAGAGATATTTATAATTTAATTTTTTTCAGCATAACTGGCAGGGAATATGAGGTCATTCAGTTACAGTTGCAAAATGAGTAGGACAGTAGGTCAGGATAAAAAACTAACAATGTGTGCGCACCTTGTCTGAAGTCCGGGGTTGAGATGTTACCACTCCTCCACCAGTCTCTGATGCAGGGTTCCTCTATGAACAGACCAATAATGATAGCAAAACTCAACTCTGTCCCACCAACGTAACAGAAACGAACTATAAAAAAAGACTACAAAAACTAAATTAAAATAATATATTTGTAAACAAGACACATAAAACACTAAAAACATCTAAGGAGCATTTGCAGAATAAAAGAGAAAAATGAAATAAAAAAGAGAAAAGAAATGGATTACATCTGTAGAGTGACTCCTAGCAGGGAACTAGTGCATTAGAGTTGTGTTGTATGCACACCTTATTCTGTATGTGTGCTTCTTCACCTCACGGAACCTTTCCGACTGGTATCACAGACAAGTCAGTATTTTCTAAGTCTTCTTAAATGTACATATAACAACAGAACAGATTAAATGAATGCCCACAACAATGAACCCCCACCATTCTTGCAAACTTCAATATTCACAAGACAAAACAGTGGACCTGGAAGTCTTGACTCAAGATACTGGACTCCCACCGAAAGTGCTCTGAGCCACATTTTTTCACTGACTCCTTCAAGGAGAGTCCTTTTTGAGAACCTAAGAGTTGCCAGTAAGTAAAATTGTCCTGCATTCTGTGGAAACAGAAGGTTCAATACACATTCTCAAGAGCACACCACAAGTCTCTATCCTGAGCCAGATAACACATACCCACATTGCCACAAGCCATTCTCTTAAGATCCATACCATATTACAGAGAAATCTTGAGTTTACACTTTTTAAGGGACCATCTAAAATAAGTGCGAAATGAGAATAACACGGAGAAAACTTTTCTTTATATCGTAACTTGGGAAGCTGCTTTAAAAACACATGTTTCAACATTTAACAATGCAAATGTAGAAGCAAATATTGTTCTTGGTTTACTTTATGATGCTTTATCAACTGCGGTAGTTATGATGATTATAACTGTGGAAGAAGCAGTCGTAGTCTATTTCAAGGTACCGTTCCAGTATTCTCCTCGATAGAATGACAAAAATAAGGCACACACCTAACTACACTATTTCTTTAACCATTCAATAGCAGTCATCTGTTTCTCTTTTTTCCTGAGCTCAGTATGCATAACTGATTTTCAACTCCTTGCACATTACAATAATGCTGTTCTCAATATCAAATTGACACTTGTACTTTCTGGCTGCTTCCACTCCTTTCAGTGCATCCAATGATGTTGCTCCATGTTCCGCAACTTCCTCTCCCTCTTCTGGCATAGTCAGTTGACACTCCAGACTCTACAGACCTTGAGCATACTGTCACATGCTGTGCAGTCCTCAAACTGCACTCCAAGAGTTTGTAAGCTGTGCCAATCATCCACTTCACCTTCACTGAGCTTCACTGCACTGTTATCATCACTGGTCTTGATTGTGGAGGATGTTATCGAACTTCAGGCTTGCACTACAAAGTGCACCGCAGACAACACGCCCAGCTTCATCTGTGTAGCATCTTGGAGTACAGTTTTCTGAATGAACTGCTCTGTGTAATGGCATCTGCATTCATGGACCCCCAAATCTAAAGGCTGAGCTGGCTGGTACAGTTACCTGGGAGAAACACAACTCCAATGTTGCTGAAAAACTTGGTGAATGGCATGCTGATCAATGAAAAGCAAGATGCTGTGATTGTTAGCACCCAGTTTTCTACCTAGCTGTGTGAGATAATCTTCAAATATTTTGGTGGTTATCCAAGAATTTATATTTGTAGGCGGTCTTGAAGCAATGTGGAATTTTATACTTTCCAGTTAAAAGAGGTGGCAGTTTATCATTGCCATCGTCACTGTATGCGAGGGGCACCATAACCTTTTGTTTAGAATTTATAACACCCCGGCAAATATCTCGTCAAGAAACAAAGGTCATAACATTAAATTTTTTGCAATAGTTGGTAACTGTTCCAGTCTTCTACAGTTTCTAGAGGAACACTCCTGCTCTCACCCGATACAGTTCTGTAGACAATGTTGGGTCTCCCCTTAAATCTGTTGATCGAGCCATTGGAGGCCAGGAAGTTGGCTAGTCCCAGACGAGTGGTGATATGCAAGGCTTTCTCCTTCAGATCATTGCCATCTGTTGAAGCAACATTCTCACATGTTTGCCTGAACCATGCAGCACGTACAGTTCCAGTGTCTCCGGTGGTGAATGTTTCACTGATTTCCGCACTGGTCGTAACTTCCTTTGGTTTCTTCACAAGAGTTTAACGTGAAAACGTATGCCAATATCTGCATTACTTGCCCTAAAATATTTATATTATTGCTTATCATAAATGATTTCTGTGTTCCTTCACTATCCCTATTCATCCTCTTGCTGTGACATTTGTCTTAGTAGACAATAAAATTTAGTCTCTAAGAAGTTAAGTCACACAGGCACTGGAAGATTGAAAAATTTAACCTGAATGCACTTCTGTTGAAAACACGCTCCATGTTGCAATGGTATTTTTTTTGAACGCTTACTGGACATGGGAGAGAGACACTGTTCTCATAGGATTACAGTTATACTAAGATGTAACATCTTCAAACCCGGCCTAGAGTGGCGAGCTGCTTGGAGAGCAGCATGAAAAGTCCCCTCAGGTGCAACAGGCCTTAGTCAAGTCACACAGTGCACATGTATCATCCGCAGCTGTTCATCAATCAATTGGCAATATGTACTTTCACACTTAATGGCCTGCAAATGCTAACAGAGAAAGAAGTTCATTGCTTCAAATAAGAAATTCTGAAAACTGAAGTACAAAACTTAAAAACGAAAGAATTTATTGGATTTCACATATAAATAAGACAGAGATAAGGAATGTAAAAGGTAAAGCTATCGCCGTAAGAGGCCGTAGAGGCCCATAAGGTTGTGAGCCTTACACACCAGCTGCCTTTTACCCCCGGAAATATTCCTGGTATTCATTTCTGTTAGAGGCTGAGTCGACCCCAGGGCTATAGTGCGGCTGGAAGGATTAGGTCAACTAAAAATTCCAATGACCTCATGAGGAATCAAACCCGCGACCTTCCGGCTTGTAGCATAGTGCCTCAACCAACTATGCTACCATGAGCTTCGAGATAAAGAATGTACATTTGCCAAAACAGGATTAAGAAAATCACATAAGGATTATATTACTGAAGAAAGTTAAGTTAATAAAACCAATACCTACCTTTCAATGATAAAGAAAATTTAAACATTTTAAAAACACGTAACTTTTAGCAATGAAAGAACGTCTTCTACTATTGTGCCAGTTAGCTTATATCTACAAACCTACATGAACAGTTCATCCACACTGACCATCCTCCACTGTCATATTCACAAACTCACTCAACCTACGATGTATAAATGTAACGTTTGCATCACTTCATATCACACCACATCTGCCTGGACCTACTGACTATGTATTTATGGTTTACTTGATGGTGCTCTCAGCAACTCAGGTTGCATATAGTATCAATCATTGGGGTTATTAATGAATGGTGAGTTAGAAAGGAAGCAGACATAGCCTAACTTCAGGCACTATCCTAGTATTTCCATGTAGAAAGTGAAAACCTTCAGCTAGGATACGCAACACCTCCCGAATATAAGTCACATTCAAGCCAATCTGCTAAGTGGGTGATATGACAAACCTAAATATTTCACATAATGTTGCGTTAAGTAACACAAGCCAAAACCACATCTAACGGACAGGTTTACTTTTACTATGAGGTAGGCAAACTGTAGTTGCAAGTGGAGGAAGCCTGTTTTGTTTTCTTGCTCCTTTTTATTTTTTCTTCTGGTCTTTTTTATCCTCATTCACGGTTTCAACGATCACAATTATTTGTAATCACATTTATACAATTTCTCCAGGTTGCTGTCGACAAAATGGCACTCATGCAGGTTTTCTCCGAGTACTACAGTTTCCCGTGCCAATTCTCATCCCACCCACTGCTTCACATTCATTACTCATGCTATCAACAACACTACACAGTCTCGATACTGACAGCATCATTAAATGAACAAGTGGTGTGGTCCATGAACTGTGCTCATCTATTTCTGACATCTTCAATATTGGAATTTTGCATATCAATCATCATACAGTGGAAGCTATACATATAACAAAATGGAAACACTGTGTTTAAACAATCTCTTTTGGTGGTACTCTGGACACAGCAGTGTTTCAGGATTAAGCAATCCTCTACTGAACTTCCTATCAGAACTAAAGTAAACACCCCAGACAGAAAATATATTACTAAAGTATTGAATCTGTCAGCAACAGAAGTTGCCCATGGGAAATCTGGAGAAAGAGAAAATGTTACACTGGAAACTGTAACTATTCAGCAACAAAAATCATCTGAGGCAGAGAAGAAATGGAACTTTCCATTATAAAAAGCTGATTTTTAAAAACTGTAAAACGCAGAAAAATGCATAAACAATAAAACAAATATCTACCTATCTTTGCATGAGGCATCCATATAGAAGAACCATAAAGTACATCAGTTAGAACAAAGAAAAAAATAAGATAAAAGAATTATAGACCTTCAAGGAAAATTATCAAGTTACACCTCTGCTTAGGTCCTTCCCTAAAATGTCTTCTCCTCTCATCCTTTTCAGTTTGTGACTTTCCTCAAGTGCTACAGGCCGTGCCATAGCTCAGGCGGTTACTCAGTGGCTTCCCATCACCGCAGCCTGGGTTTAAGCCCAGGTCGGGTCATGTGGGATTTGTGGTGGACAAAGTAGTACTGGGGCGCTTTTCTCCAAGTACTTCGAGTTTCCCTGTCAATTCTCATTCCACCAACTGCTCCGCACCCATCTATCATCCGGGGCTGGTACATTAGGCCAAAGAGTGGTTGACATACCAAGTGGACTCAGTCTCACCCCACCAGATGAAACTAAACTGAACTTCCTAAAGTACAACCACATGTAACTTTCAATGTGATGTGATGTCCATATAGTGCAAACTTGAGGTACACCTTATCTAAGCGAATTTCATCTAAGCATGGCTCTGATACTACTCCACTGATTCTGAACTGCTGTATAAACTTGTACCGTGCCAAGAGAGTCGAGAATCTCCACCAGGAATGGTAAAACTGCTGACTTTGTGACACACTACCAATTTCAAACACAGACAATCATCTACAGGAAACACTTAAAGTGACCTTTCAATTCATAAAAGAGAATCTTCCTCCTCCTCACCATCATCATCTTCATAGTAGAGAATTTGTTGTGTGACAATATAATGCGCAAGAATTGCTTCATATTTCCACTAATTTTGAACTACACTAAGAACTCTGCCAAAATTATATGTTCTTACATGGTACATGAAACAGTGACAGATCAAGGCAGCACTTCTAAAATAATCAAAATTGTCATTAATTATTTAGACTTACTCCTCATGTCAGCCAATTACACCAGTCAAAGAAGTATATACTGGTTGGCTGGAGTTTGATTCATGATATGGACAAGGTTCTCTTTGTTCACCATTCAATCCAGTCTGATCCCAAGGCCCACCCAACCTCCCATCTGGCAAGTACTGGTACCTCCTGCTGAGGCACCACCCAACTGGCAAGTACTGGTACCTCCTGCTGAGGCACCACCCAACTGGCAAGTACTGGTACCCCCTCCTGAGGCACCACCCAACTGGCAAGTACTGGTACCCCCTCCTGAGGCACCACCCAACTGGCAAGTACTGGTACCTCCTCCTGAGGCACCGCCCAATTGGCAAGTACTGGTACCTCCTTCTGAGGCACAAAGCAGCTCAAATCTTAAGTGGAGGGTACAACTCTAACATCCAGGTAATGAATGAATGCATGGAGCTTTACTTCACATTCCATGTACACCAGCATGCACACACAGGCTTGGGGAGAACTGTACCTTCTTCCTTTTGCTGAACTTCACACTCATCTGGCTGAAGTATACAATATAATGAAGTCACAGAAAAATGTAAAATATATCCTACATAAAATATTTATATTCTATTCAAAGAGTGAAGGCGTATTCAAGCTCTAGACACATATGTAATCTGACGAGTTACTCTGGGACTATCAACAAAAACTTTTGTCCTGAACAGACTACACCGACTCTACAAGCACCTGGTGTTTCAGAGTGTCACGCTATACAAGATTTTTGTAGTACAGGAACTGGGTTTTGCCCAGATGTGCTCATCAGGGTATGACAAATCAGTAATCAGAGTGACCTGGCAACATTTTTTATGGAAACAAATGGTAGTATAAGATTTCCTTATTGTAAAAAGCTGCCTAAGAGCTTACTATATCTCATAGTGTGAAAATGTAACAGGTTCCTTTCCTGCAACTCTCCCTATGAACATGGGGTGTCTTACGCTCCAGTGTAACTTGTAACAAAAGCAACACGGAACTTTGGACACAGTCTATTGTGCAAACACAAAAATATTGTAAATCCGACATACCAAGATATTAGATAATTCCAAAGTAAGACATAATTTTAAGGGAAGCCTATGATTTGTATATTTATGATACTGCAACCTCAAAATTCAATGACAGTATATATCCAGTTCATATAGAAGAGGATATTAATGCATTAAGGAATACAGTGTACCAATCTTGTGTATTTCCTATGAAGAGTAAGTTATCATACCTACAAAATTCAAACTGCTCAACACTTCACAGATCAGCACAAAATCATTCACCCAAATTTCTGTAGACATTATATGAAAGTTTTAGATTACGATGCAGATGTTTTGAATGTTTTCGTGATGTTAAACAAGGCCCACTTTCACCTCAACATGTTATGGGTTGGACAACCAAGGAGTCTGGGTCTGATTCCCAGTATGGGCAAGAGATATTTCTCTTCTCCACGAAGTCAAGACCAGCTCTGGGGCCCACCCAGCCTCCAATATAATGGGTACCAGGGGCTAGTTCCCTGAAGGTGAAGAGGCAGGGGCATGAAGCTGACCACTCACCTCCATCTAGTGCCAAATTCAAGAATGTGTGGAGCTATACAACCAATCCCCATACATCTTCAGGGCATGATGCTTAATTAATTAAGGCCAGGGGTAACTTTATCTGTCATGGTTAAGCTATTTGAAAATTCTCCTCACACAACTGAAGAGTCGAAACAACTGAACTGCTGAGGTACAACAAATAAGATTTTATGGTGATTTATAACAGAACTTCAGGTCATGGCAGAGGGCACTCAGAAAATGATATGTTCAGGAAATAACATGCGGCCAATAAACTGCTGTAATTAAGCTGGTTTTGTTAGTTGTTTACATTATCTAGCCACCTGCCCACAGTGGGGTAACGAAAAACACCCAAACGCACTGTCTGACACTGATAAAAAATATGGCTGTTAAAGGCGTGGAGTACAAGGAAAACTCTGCGCAGTGAACGGTGGACATTAGAACACAAAAACCTAACTCATTCTGTAGACCTTCAATGAGACTGCTGCGTAGGCTGAATTCTTGAATTATTTTTGGATACATTTTCAGTGTTTCAGGGAAAGTTCAATATAAATCAGTTAATAAATTAATCTTAACTGGTGTATTAAGAAGCCACTTCTAGGAGGGCAAATCAAAAAGTCTGTGCCCCTATTTTTTTTCAGCCACAATAATACACATACAGGGAAATCAAAATACAGGCAGTGTTCTGAGTACCTCTGACTATTTTTCCACATAGTCACCACCCTGGTTCAGGCATTTGTCCCATCACACCACTAGTTTGGAGATGCTGCTGTTGTAGAATTCGGCCGGTTGAGTGTGAAACCACCGCTGGACAGCAGTTTTTGCATCGTCATCAGAAATGAACCTCTTCAGTGGACCGAACATGTGGTAATCACTGGGGGCGAGGTCTGGACTATATGGTGCATGCTCCATAATCTCCCATCCGAATGACTGCAATCGGGCAGCAGTCCTGTTTGCCACATGAGGCCTGGCGTTGTCAAGAAGGAGACCACATCATCCACAAGAACCCCCAGCGGTGGGTCCACGCTCAACCAGCCGAATTCTACAACAGCGGCATCTCCAAACTAGTGGTGCGATGAAACAAATGCCTGAACTGGGGTGGTGACTATGTGGAAAAATAGTCAAAGGTACTTAGAACACTGCCTGTATTTTGATTTCCCTGTATGTGTATTATTGTGGCTGATAAAAGATAGGGGCGAAGACTTTTTTATTTGCTTTTGTACTTCAAGGCATATCCACATTGCGCTGTAGGTGATTAACAGTCAGTAACCACTTTTCATCAGAAGGAGCATTCAACTCTCTGAGCAGAAGACATGCTATAGTCTGAGATTTGCCACTTTGGATTCTCCATGGAACCAAGTGTCACTAACAGTTCTGTAAGCAAGACACTGCTATCTATAAAACAAGTAAAACAATCCACTGAACATGGTCTCAATCAGCCACATTCATAATCACTGTCTACTGACCAATCAACCGCACTAGTCTTTGGCACCTACACCAAAGGAACCAAAAAGTTAACTGAAAATTAAGATAATGACATCCTTGCTCTTTTTTTGTTACAGCATAATGAGGTCTCCTTTCATAAGACATAATAAAATTACAAAGTGACGGTCTTTGCAAAACAGTTTAACGTGACGAACTGAAAGAGAACTGAAACTGGGGAACTATGAAAATCTGAGAGCACCGGTATCACCTGGTCCTGTAAGGTGGAAGAGCAGAGCTGTAGACAGTAAGTCTGTACAGATTGTCACTGTGTGCAGTTATATGAAAACTTAAAAAAAAGCATTAGGCTTTTGTCTGTTTAACTTTAAAGCACACTCAACTATCTCAATACTCAGCATCCAGTCAGACTGTGCCTTGCACTTGTTTCAGACATACATGTAAGGTGTGGTAGTCCCCGGTCTCCTCGGGCTGTCGTGGTTTGCACTTGCCACAGCAGAAGTTGCAACAGCAGCAGCAGCAACAGCACAGATAACAGCCAGTGATGATACCACAGAACACAATAAGGGCCTGCAACATTCCGTGAGAACATCAATTAAATCTCCATAAATTACTTACTTTTCAGCAGACTTCAGTGACTTATCTAACAATAACCACTAGCTTATCAGTTACAACAACATAGTGAGAGTCTCATGAAATCTTTGCAGTTCATATAGTTATTGTTAAATGAACAGAATTAATATATCAACCTCAATCTACTCACTCCTGTAAACTGGAAACATTTCAGCAGTCCTTGAACAACTTCCCATTCAGTGTAAACTTACAATTTTCCATGCTGCATATTTGTTTAAAAATAAAATTTGTTTGTGCCTGGTCATTCCTTCTTCGGTGCTAGAAACCAGGGATGGAAGAATCACCACATCAGATGTCCTCAGAAAGGTTACGCCCAAGTGGGAGTATTATGTTCTTAACCACGAAAACAATAAGCATGAGACAAGTTGCACAATACGTTACAAATTTACTTTTTTTTAAATTCATCTATCTGATGATGATGATGAATCATTACCATTATTAATAACATCATTATGCTGACAATTATACAGTTTTATAAGAGTAATAAGGAATACACAGAATACCTCTGTTTATCAACTGGCGTCTCTGTTCTGCTACATAAATCTAGACACACATGTAAACGACAGGAATTCCTCTTTCCTGCATGTACACCCAGAGCTTCCAACAGTGATTTCCTAACCCACTTACAAAACATCTGGAAAGCCTTTAATATGCTTACAAATTTTAATGGATATAGTAGGTCTACAACAATGCTTTATAAACTGCATTGGTTGTATGGCCTTGTATGATGAAGGGCTATATGGCGGATTACTCTGAATGAATAACTGAAAAGGATCTGGAATGGCCATGGCCTATTTTAACTCTTTGACTGGCGCGGGCGTGTTTTAACGCCCGGACGATGCCAGCCGTTCCCTGGCGTTGGCGTGTTTTAACGCTTTGACAATCTCGTCCCTTCTTTGCTCTCTTGGCACTCATCAACCAAAGACATATATATGATAGTTTTTGTGCATGTTTGTAAAGAACCCTTGTAAACTTTGTGGGGGTCTATATTACTGTCAGAACCCTCTGAGAAGGTAAAGGTCAGAAAATATTTCACATTCATTCAGTTTCACCATAGCTTCTTGCAGCAAGTGTCTTCGTGTTCCTACAGACGAGCTGGAAAATGTTCTGAACGAGATTTTTCCTGATGATGATAGTGGCGATGAAATAATGATTCCTGAATTGGATGAAGTTGATAGTGACAATAATACAGTGATAGACAATGATCCACAAGACAGTAATCATGAACATTTACCTACCACGAGTGCGGTGCCTGACACGCCCATCTCATGAACGTACGGAGACATTGTACCCCCAATATTTCCATTTGCTAATAGTTTCGGGATCAAAATTGATATAACACATAAAATACATCCCTTTTCATGGATTAAAATTTTTTCTGGATGACGACTTGGTAAATCACATCACAACTGAAACCAATCCCTATGCTCACCAGCACTTCAACACACATGAGTTAGCTCCTCACTCTCGAAAACACAATTACAATTATGTCACATCAGATGAAATCTGGACATACTTAGGAATTGTGTTCATGACAGGAATCGACAAACGCCCTGAAATTGAAGAATATTTGTCCACTAGGCCCCTATTTCACACCCATGGTATGGACAAAACATGTCTTTGCGGTTGAATAGTTTCATTCTATTCAAAAAGAACACAACAAACGAAAAATACAAGAAGAGAAATTACAGATTCAAAGATTTTATATTGGACTGTGTAGAAAAATGACTGAACCAAACAAACAGTGTGGAGAGGGAGAAAAGTCAAGGAATGAAGTGGATGACGAATCTATTGGGTCAGACTAGAGTGCAGTCACGCCTCCGCCCTCGACCATGAAAAGACCACCAGTGAAAGAGCCATCAAATCGCCTAGAGGGTGGCTTGAAAATTCACAAAATGGTCCATGTTCCTAACAGTAACAATAAGAAGAATGGTGCCCTGAGAAAGTGTCGCGTGAGTGCTAAGCACAAGGTTAGAAAAGAAACAAGTATCATGTGTGCAGGCTGTGGTGTGGCTCTCTGCAAACTTTCATGTTTCAATGTTTATCACACGAAGAAAAACAAATAAAGAGGTGTGGAAAAGCATTTATTGCATAAAATATTGTATTTTAATTAGTTCCTAAAAATTTCGTTTTTAAAAACCAATTTTTGTTGAAGTTGTTTAGGAAAAAGTAACTACATGCATTTTAGCGACATAAGGTTTAAAGGGCCTGCCAGGACAGGGGTGAGATTTAAATACCCTTCGTGCCAGTCAAAGAGTTAAGGTCCTACAGTTGCATGGTGAAAATTTTACAGTTAAATACAATTTGACTTCAAATCCTGAAATTATGCTATAGCAGAAAACCATGCATGGATCATAATCTGTATATCTCCCTACAACTAAGGCAGCCAGCAAATTCTTCACTGTGATTAAAATGAGATAAAATAATTACCTGCTTGTACTACAAGCTAGGACACTCATCTTATCTCCAAGTTACTCATATGATTACTATGTAAATTCATTCTTGCACCAATATGAACAAAACCACAAAATGCTTTGTCTTATCTGTAAGTTAATCTCATCAGTAAATTAAGTCAATGATTTACATCAGTAATCAAGAATTATCAATCTGTAAACAGGCACTGACTAAGGACACAACTCATTACAAAGATTACTTGCTTTAACTTCAAGTCTTGGTACTGGCTCAGCAACGCAAGAGATACAGGCCCCACTAGGGAGAGCTACATACAAAGGAACACAGCAAGGATGCCGCAATATGAACGTAGCATCAGTGAAACATGGGCATACATTGCCAAGCAATGAGATGCAGTAGCAGCATGTAATATACTGACATGAGCTGATACAAGGCAGCAGTTCCAATCCATTAACAGTAAAATAAAATGTGACTCTAATGACATTTAAAATAGAAGTTTTTGTTGCATCAGAGACAGAAACAAGTGGATGAATGACGTATCGATGCAACACGATGCTGAAATATAGTATTAACAAGAACTCAGTACTACTGTGCCACAAAAACTAAAATCAAAAGAGACAATTTGACTGACTCGGGAGAAAAATAAGGCCCTTCCCAGCACTACATCAAACTACACATACAGTACCTTCATTTTCATATACAGAATTTAAAACAATAACAAATGTACAACCAAGTAAGATTGCCTAGCAGTTATGGTTTGAATCTCAGCAAAGACATGTCTTTACTAGTCTTTACTAGAGGCACTAATAAAGACAACACCACATGCTGTGGAGGAAACACGCAAACCAGGGGCATATGGCAGTCATAACTGAGAAGTAGGCTACAAAACGTGAAGGGCAAGCTGCCAAAACAAAAAACACCCTGGACAGACATACATTTATGAACAGTGGACGACACCCCGTGTGAGGTGAAATAAAATGCGCCAAAATAACGTGGGTATATCAGAAATTTTAATGGATTTTATCTTGTTTTACCATGAAAAGAGAACTACAGCCTGTGATTTTAACACGAGCTAACACAGTGTAGCAGTTTTAACATAATTTAATAAAATATTTGTAACATATCAAGACACCTCAAGATGGCTGTTTGGGGCCAAAACATGTAGTGTCAAAGTGTGTAATGTTAAACTAAAATTAAAATTAAGCAGTTAATAAACAAGTGTTGCAATATTGACGGATGATAAATACATGGACATTAACTTAAACAATTGCAACAGGATACTGAAATATAGAATAATCTAAAGGTGTGTGTGGCTATCCTTGTACGCTCTAGGTAAATGCTAGTAAGTACATTGATTATATCATGATGTCTAACTTCCAAATTATTTTCAATCAATCATACACCACTCATTCTACCAGTTGATGCTACATAGTCAAGCTATCCCTGTAATAGGCCATGGAGGCCCATAGAATTGTGGTTCCCATATTTTCTAAACAATCCGCTCACAGATGGCAGTGAGGGTGTCAGCTTTAAGTGCCAGCCACCCTTTACCCCCAGGTAGATTCCTGGTACTCATTTCTATTAGAGGCCGAGTTGACCCCAGAGCCAGAGTGTGGCTGGAAGGATTAGTTGAACTGAAAAATCCAATAGCCTCATTGAGACCGAACCCATGACCCTCCGACTTGTAGCACAGTGCTCAACCCACGACAGTATCACAGGCCCTGCATCTTCAAATATCCACCCCACCCCTCCAAACCAAAAGTACAGAACAAGTCCTGCATTTGTGAGAAAGATCTCTTGTGCCTTGGACATCTACAAACTATATGCTCAAGCTACAAACAATTCTGACAAGGCACTCCACATAGGGCATGTGCAGTAACTAATGTTATATATTACACCTGTGTTTTGAACCACCTGGACCAATTGTTGGTTGATTTGCATCACTTTTTGAGCATTCTGATTCTGCATTTGACTGACGGTAAATAGTAAAGTTTTAAAAGGGGATAGTGAAGGTTACAATCTGATCATTGTAACTGCCAGAGGATTTACATATTTGATAGAGTATTTAAAGAGATAAGTCGCTCATGATAAAGCACATTTGCTCTCATATTGCACTTAAAGCATCGTGTTGCATCACTGTTATTTCTTTTACACATATATTTCCATCTTAAATACAATTAAGAGCAACTATAAACAATTACAAAAACTTACACAACTAACAAAATATTATATAACGCAACACATTATTTACGTAGTACAGATAATATTCACCCCACAAATGGAATGCAGCGCGACTAAATCCACCAATGAGAAATATCTTTTAAATGAATGGATGACAACAACAATGGAAACAACATTAAGATGTTAATTGATTTTAATTCCAAGCTTAATTCATTTTAATTAGGAAATATTGCTTTCAAATGCAACATATAACTTTGACATACAGTGCAATAATTTTAGCGAGACAGGCAACACCTGATAAAGGCTGTCTGTGGCCAAAACACGTGGTGAGGAAGAAGGGTGACCTGATAATAAGTTGCATTTAAGACAGAAATATATATGTACAAAAAATATTTTCTCTCTATAAATCAATAAAAGATAATGCAAAGATTTACAGTTATGTTTTAGCTGGTTAAAATCAGCAAAGTACTTTCTAATTAGAGCACATTTTCAAAGAATTTCCAATATTAACAGAAAGTGTGAAAGCAACGCTAAGATCCAACGTGTCTTTCACATGGAGTTCTGAAACCTTTGTTTTTCAGCATTTAACAAGTAAAATAGAAATCAAAGCTTTGAGATGTCTATCAATTATAGGGTCTATCAGTCCAATAAATGTCAAGCAAGGCAGGCATTTTTGCAATTTCAATACATCCACTAATACCCTTCCAAAATAACTTTTCCAAAAACACAAGTTTTCAAAACTTACTTCAGTGTTACAACAGATATATCCTGAGCTTTCCAGTGGTTAAATAAAAATCTAACAAGAACTGTAGCAGTACTTCACAGGGGAGATTGCTTTTAACAGGAATCAGTAAATCTACGCAATGAACAAATACTTTGTGATAACAATGCAAAGTTACTGAAGAAGTTGTTTGGAAATATTTTAAATTTCTTCCTCCTGAATTCTTATTAAACATAAACCAATCATCATCTTTCCTATGAGTCATCGAAAAAAAACTTCTTGGAACGCATACCACTACCATAGTTAAGTAGACGTCCGTGGCCGCAAGCGAAACGATACAAAATGGCTTTATGGGTATTCACTTGGTCCATCCACCATCCAAGTGACCATCTTGATGATAAATACACAGTAATCTTACCACTGAGCTCCACAACGTACAACCTGCGGCTTTTTGCCACAGGATTTTGAATGTTCCACCATGACTTCCATAACCATTCAAATCTGTTTCAGTTTCTGCATGCTGTTTTTCCGTTACAAAACCATTGTAAGCTACGCAACTAGCATAAAACTTTCTCGTTGAAGAAAATTTCAAATGCAACATCTTAACAGCCTCTCTCCGCAGACAGGACATTCTGCAGTCATACTTCTGTGAGATTTCACACAAACCACAAAAGACAGACTACTCCTATATATATGCAAGGGATATGTCCTATGTTGTATGACAATAAAAGTCTCACCTTGCACCAGCCAGATGTGACTAGGAAGTAAGCATTGACATTTTCCTCTCCAAACTGCTCTGCAATGTATAGACCCAGAGAACCGTAGTTGTCGTAGATGTTTCGTTTTGTCAGGTCACTCAGAATACTGTGAGCACGATTCACTTCTTTAAACTGCAATGAAACCATGAAAAACACACTTATTAAGTAACAAACAAAAACAAAACAAACTCCGTGGCTTTAGTCCACAAACGAACTATACCGACTGAGCAACTGCCGCTCGTTGGTGAAGTTAGTGCCAACTTTAGCGGACAGAGGGTGTCACGTGGTCAGCATAACAGTTCCCTAGGGCCGTTAATTTCGGTTTTCTAGACCATAGCCACTATTTCCTTGAAATAGCTCCTCAATTATCTACATGAGGCTGAGTGGACCCTGTTCCAGACACACTACTTCTCAGAAAAAATCTGGTAGCACCAGGAATCGAACCCAGATCTCTGGATCTGTAGCCAGGAACTCTGACCGCTAGGCCACAGAGGCTGTCCTTATTAAGTATGCTGCAAAATATCAATTCTGTAATTAGGGTCCAGTGATTTAATACAGTCTATATTTGCTCAGTGAACACATTTAAATTAAAAACTGGAGGCACAAGCTATGAAACCCATCTCACCTTCTCTGCAGCTTCAGGATTGTTCGGATTTTTATCTGGATGGTATTTGAGTGCCATTTTCCGGTAAGTCTTTTTCACATCATCTGCAGTTGCAGTTTTTGGAAGATCCAGGATCTGATAGAGTGTATCACCAGAGGTGCTGAAATGGAAGGAATTTATATAGGTTTTACATAACCAACAGATCACTACAATTTCTATCCTTCATCTCCAAATTCAATGAAGCAGCTTCACATGAAGTAAAAATTACAGATAAATTACACTTCTGGGAACAGTACGCAAGATAATTTTATGATAACGAATGAAGTCATTTTACAGAATAATTACCATGTATCATGAATCATTACAAAATCTCATTTTGCTTCCATTTATTTGGAAACACCTTATGCTTTGATGTCAAACTCTCTAATGAAAGCTGGGTGCTTGTGATATGGACAGGTTAAAATGGTTAACCTCGGGGTTTTCCTGATAGTTGACAGAAGTCTGTGTTTGTGTTTCGGGATACGGTAATACATTCCAGTACAGTGACTAGAACTCCTTTCAACGACTAATGCGCAATCTCCCCCTAAATTTTACAGACAGCNACCCCCAAAAAAAAAAAAAAAAAAACAAAACAGCAAATACTGAAAATAAAACCTGCAAGGAAAAATTGTAATTCTGACATCTCAGTTCTGACTCTATAAATAAAGTGTACATGACTTTTAACTCATGATACCCAAATTGTGTTTAACTACATTTGTGTCACTCCTAATTTTCTTACAGGAGCTTACAGAAACAATTCACTGCCTAACATCATCTCTGCAGCCCTGAGTAGCCTGCATGAATAATTTAGTCACTCAGAATCCTATCAGAAACTTCATATTATCTTCATGTAGGTCACTTGCTACAAGATACAGATTAAACCAGCCAAAACCCAAAGTGAGTGATAAACAATGCACAAACCTCTTCTGCAGTAATCCCATGTTCCTTCATCAAACTACATCTCCCAAAGTGCTTGGACTTCTCTAACTGTACTCAGCAAATAATTCCTTTCATTTTTCTTATTTGGCATCCATTATCAAACCTCTCAGCTCCATAAATAAAAACACAGAAATTGGAACCAATCTCCTTCACTGTCCTGACCTCTCCCAACCCTGTCTCTTGCACCATACTACTGTCAAGAAGAAACCAGAGCCAAGCCACCTGCTGACCCAATTTCTTACGAACATGTCGGTCCTGCTGATCTGACTGTAGCCCAACATACACTGCTCAGGAACGAAGTTGGGTTAACAGAGTCAATGCCCAATGTAACAAAAACTGCACTGTACCTTCTATGGTAATATAAGAAACCACTGCCACAATGTCACAAGCAGAACAGTTCCAACTCAACTGAATTCCCCTATATCAGAATCAAGATGTGTGTCAACTTCCTTAATCATAATCAAATATTGTGCTTGAAGCTCACATAAATAACTAAAAGCATACCCAAATTTACAGTTTTATATGAAAATATAAAAATAAACCACGATACTGCTCCATATGCTATGGGAATGATTTTAAGTATTATTCACCCAACTACACCTTGGTCTGCCTTGTGGTCTCTTTCCTTCTGGCTTTCCCACCAATATGCTACATGCCCTGTATTTTCAAGGCAAGGGACTAGAAATAATGTAGGATTACACAAGTAAATTCAAGAATAAATATTATTAGGAATGGCAGAGTAAAATGAAGTTCATAAGTTTTGGGCACTATCAAGAATATTATCACCATACTACCATGGAACAACAGTTGTGACAATGTATAACACACACAAATTGGTTTTACAGCTCCTACTTGCTTGTGTGGGCACTACTTACTCTCTGCTACAGTCTGAATCAGAGTAATTTCGTTCCGACTGATCAGTTCCTGATCCTACAGCAAAAACGGACGTTTTCTTCAGCTTTTAAGGACAAAAATGATGTATTAACCATGAAGTATCTTGGTCCGATTTGTAAGTCCGAAGTGAATAAGATCTAAAAGTTTGTGACGATGGTATATTGCTACAAGTGTTATGCTTTTGGACATTATCCATCGTCTTATCTATTTTAAAAAAAAACATCCTGAGTAGGTTTTACCTGAGGATGGGGACAGAATCCAGTCTCCGAAACATTGTTTTAAAAAAATAAACAGAACTGTTTTTAAAAAATAGACCCAAATCATAATACTTGTAAGACTGAAAATTCAGTCTACCATGTGTGGTAAGTCAAAGGAACTGTATTTATTATCAATTCAATCTATAGAATGGAGTTACACCATGCCAGCGATGGACTCGGTTCTGATGATGGTGTTCAATCAAATAACGCTGCTGCCTCCAATTCTATTGAGAAGAACATGTTCAGATCATCAAAAGAGGTTCTCAGCTGATTTATAATTTTTCTGTATAAGTCACACAAGAACAATTCGAATGTTTCAAGACTTTAATTCATAAAGTAATGGAGAACAGTGCAAAATTACACATATATGAACTTTGGTCTTGTAGTACATAAGCTCTGGGAAAAAAAAGGAAGCACTGAATGCAAATTAATAACTTCATAAAAAGGAAAGTATGTTACACACTGATCCAAAAAGTAAACTGCATATTTGTCACATATACAGAAAATATGCGTGCCTCGAATGAATGGTAATTGTCACACCCAGAATGAGGATATGTAATCATCTAGCTGAGAGAACCTCCAAACTAAACTGGTATATCTAGTTCTGTCCTGAACCTAACAACAAACAGAATATGGAAGAAGCATCAGGAGTGATTTTTAGGCCATTATCCTCATTAATGAACTTTCAATGAGTAAATACATATAGCGACCTCTCAGACCTCACCTAGGTAATATTGTGCCTCAAATACATCCCGCCTAATTAAGAGTTAAAAATGTGAGATAACAAACACAACTAGGTCAGATCTGTTAGATTTCTTAACAGGTCATGTTTAACATTACTTCATGCCGCAAGTACATATAGAAAAGTATTTTTCCTATCCGCCATAAATACATTTTTCATAATAATGACCAATAAAATTTCAAAAGAAAAGACCGGGTATCAGAACTTCAGCTGTCCTACAAGTTAATATTAATCAATCACTTACGACAATTTTCGCCTATCCATTGCGAACAGGATCACAAAACAATTTTAAGCACAGACGAAGAATACTCTGTAACACAATAAATCTTTGTACTATTTCGCTACAAGAAATCCATTTCGTTTCTCCTTCACTAAATACTGAATTCCGTACTTCCACTGGTAACACACTCCTACTCCGCAACTTCCAGCTGACTCGGTAGGCTAGGTTCGCTCGGTTGCACTCGGTAGAGCTCGGTAGTAACAGAGACCGCCAGAGACAAATAGCAGATTACGGTATTTGTAAACGTATCCACCTGGACGTCAAAGTCATAAGTGCATTCGTTGCCATCGCCTTCCCTTGTTTAGGATCTTTAGGATCTTTAGGATAGTTACAATACGAGCTGCAGCCACTGCCGAGAGCTCAGTCGGCAAGAAGATTTGCTACTATCATACTAGCCTTTCTTCCATCAATATCTGTGGCNCCCCCCCCCCCGATTCAAGTGTTCACAAAACAGCGATGAATAAGTTTGCCAGCCCCTGTATCTCTGTTACGAAAACAAAAATAAGTCGGTGTTAGTCACCTTATTACAACACACCGGTGAAATGTACATCACATACCAACAATTCTCTCTAAACAAATAACCTTTGGTATCTGGAATATAGTTTACCCTCTGCCATATTTAGTTCGGTTTACGTAATTTACTTATTGCTCCAGCATTACTTTGGGATTGTTCGAATGGAGTAATATCGAAATCAAGTTCGACTGTATATTCTACACATGGTTGTTCGATTGGTGACACTGTTTCCATGCCGTTGTAGTGTATGTCACGGATTAATACCTAACTTGCGCTCCCGTATATGTAGCAATTTTGGTGTATGAAAAATAAAGAAATGTCGAAATGTTATTGCAACGGTGTTGGTCACGCAGTGTGAGAAAGTAGCGGGAGTACAAATGGATATATGTTCATTGACGTGGTGAATAAATAGTGACCCTTGATCGTACCATTAAAACATACTATATTCCCTAAAAAAATAGCGATCATTGTACTAGTAAAGTGAGGAAGGGTGTACACGTCTTCGTTATAGAATAGTTTGAAGATTTAACACTTGACAAAAAAGAAGATAAATAAATAAATAAATAAGAAAATGAAAGACCTCTGTACTTTGTGCATACAGTGTTAGTTGAAACAGCTTTGAATCACCAGAGTCTGCTGACCAATGGCTGAATTTACACGACCATCAGACCACAGTCCTTATGATTAAGGCTTCATCACATGAGTGCAGTGCACAAGGGGCACAAGTACGCTTAACGCAGCATTTTTTATTAGACATACAAACACTTATATCATATAATTAATTCTACTGTTAGGAAGAAAGTAAAGCAATTATGTCCTGACAGACACTAGTCAGTTGATAAGGTTATACAGCTCCTGGTCAGATATGGAATATGGGGAGACAAATACACACTTGAGGTGGCATTAATTTGTGTATTTTATTTGCACATGATGCCTCTCTGATATGTAAGTACATGCAATTCATTGTAAACATAGCAGGTATGATCTACATACCTGCTACGTACATACATCTTCATACATACATACATGCTACATACATCTACAAACCTGTGGTTTGAATAAAAGTTTATATATAACAGATTACTTCACTAACATATAATGACACATCCTTATTCCCTATAGCAGATGGAGTATGTCTACCTGCAGGACTGCATGGCATCACAATCAGAACATAAGACCACATTTTTTAAAAAATGGGCATTTTTTAATATAATTAGGCTGCAAGAAATGGTCTCAGTCAATAATAATATAAGTTAACACTTTTAAAAAACATAGAAATAAGATTCTGTTCCGAAGCAGGTTGGTAGACTCATACCAGGGAGGTGCGGAGGTGCTTGGTTCAAATGTCAGCAGGGATACCGGCTACGTATCTTGCTGAGCTTACTTGTGATTTTCCTCAGTCCCTGTCATGATAGTAACTTGATCAGGCAGCGATTTCTTTCATACCCTTTCCAATTCATCGGTTATCTCCCCATTGAACACTGTATAGAGAGTCTCCCTACTGACAGCATCATAAAATAATCCACCAAAAGATAAGAATATGCCATTGCTTTTATAGTGACAGTTGAATGTTGTAAGTTACAGTAGAGAAATGCAATGCATAAATTTGATATTCACCACCATGGGACCAACAGATTTCACAAGACAGTACATTTATACTTAAGCTTCTCTTGTAATTCCATTATTTGCAAATTTACTGATTTACTGATTTGCAAATAAACTGATTTATTGAGGAGAATTTTAAACTTCACAGATACTATAAGAAAGTAAAGTTCATGCTGTTAATGATTTTTGCTGGTAGTCAAACACTGTTTTGTATTACCTGTATGCAAAAGACAAACTGACTTTGTTTCAAAACTCACTGACACAGAGAAGCCAAGTTTAATTTTATGTCGATGGTATATCACACTCAGTTGCCAGAAAGACACAGTGAAAACAATTTTAAGAAAATAATGTAATCTAATTTCAGAATCTGTTCAGTACATTAGAGATGAGCGAGTCTCGGAAGGGATATAGTTCAAACTTTCAATGATCACTCCCAATTCCATCTACCTTTAAAGGTAAGCCTCTGCAAAACAAGAAGACACAGAAAGCACTGCCATTGTCCTTGTTAGATACTGTCAGTATGTATGAACATTAATACTAAACTCTAGAACAAAATTGTGAAATAACAGTTGTTGATTGAATATGTCCCCAACTTCAAATAGTGATTAGTCAGTTTGATATTTATGGTGAACTTAAGAATGGAATAAACTCATAACTTTTGCCATGATTCAGTTAAGAATTATTTAGTTTTGTCTGCTTATTAAAATGTTTAAAATTAAAATTATGCTGTGTAAGTATATCTGAAAATGTAAAATATCAATAAAAATTTATGTCTCTACCTGCCTGTCCAATCACCAAATGTATGGACTGTGTCCCTTTTGAAACATGACATTTTGTGTATATAACCTAGAAACATGTGTTTTAGACATAAGTTACATTGACCAGTCAGGGTTGCCGATTTGCTTGAAGGTCTAAATGCATTTTAGGTACATTTGCCTACAGCATCTGTACTGCTTAGTCATCTTCTCACGATCTGTGTGAAACAATTCCACCCTGGATGTATTCAAATACACTTTCAGCTGTGAAATTTTAGAATTTCAACTATCTGTCTGCATAAGGTGATATTTTCTGGAAAAAGGATTTTCATATACCTTAACATTTGATAATTATTGCTACATTTTGGGACATTTATTTTGGCTGTCAGGGTCATCATTACCCCTTCATCTAGCACTCCAACTTTTCCTCATCCCTGAGACTCTACCTGAAAGTACTCAAATATGTAGGTTGTACAGGTTGTGTTGGTTAGCCCTATAGCTCTGTCGTGGTTGGTAATGTACTGTCCTTGATTGGCTAAAAGAAATGTCTCTGACCATAAAAGTTCAATTAAAAAGGCCTAAGTTCAATTTTGATAGAAACAAGGAAAAATATAGATTACCGCTTTATGTGAAGAAGTCAATCATCCAAGTTATGTAGTCTATCACTGGATTTCTATAGAGCTGTTTCAGATATTTTGATAGTCAGTATGATATGACTTGTAAAATTCCAGGCTGCTCTACAGTTTCCTTTATGAACAGCTCCTCAAGTTTGGGCAACACAATTGTAATTCATACTGCTCATTCAACAAAATAAAAGAAAACGTATTCCTGTAAAAATCAGAATTCTTCGTACAGTCCATATTTATAGCAAGACGTATCATGCATACATTCATCTGTTCACAGTGACATTATGACAGCATATGAAATGTCACCCAATCGCATACTATCTAAATTACAACATTAAAATGTAGACTTTACAGTATCTAAAATAAAAACTAGTATTTTCATTATTTTCAGTCAGTATCATTGTTTTGTATAACAGTTACATTTGAGATGCGATCAGTGTGTGTAACTTCCTCAATGCAGCCATTCCAAACTAAGTTGGAACGTGCATTGCAGTATTGTCCCACGGAGGCATGTATGAGGAGCAGGAGTATTTCGACGCTACAGTGCTACAGCTACAGAACGCTCATCTGTTGTAGAAAGGAGACAGTGATTTTCAGAGCCATTTGGACATTGTGAAGAGAGATGCATTTCTAGAACCTCTGAGAGTGCTTAAACCTAACCCGACAAGAACACAATCAGTCCCCTAATAAATTTCCAAGGTTCATTTATAGTGATAATGACATAATAATGTGAGAGACAAGATTGTTACACCTGTGGCAATAAGAACTGCTGTCTTCTGGAATGTGACACCATGTAATCTGGTTCTGGTTCTGGTTCTGAACATGTTCAAGCAATTTGCAGTAGCTTCCTCTGTAACGCTGGTTACCGTGCATCAGGTTACTGAGCACCACATCCCAGAGAACAGTAATCTTTATGACCTAATTATATTGTACATTTTTCTGAGATGAGTTTCTGCAGAAAATGCCACCTTCCCATATTTAACAATGTTGATGCTGCTGCATCTGTTCAGAACAATAAAACAATGTGGAAATAAAAGGGAAAATATGAAAGGACGTTTGTCTGGACTTATAGACTACATAGACAGTTGTATTACTGTACAGTATTCTTGTTCATAGTTTGAAATAGTTCGGTTGTAACGATCAGGGAATTTATTAGACATTACTTCAGTTACTGTCATTCGATGAATTAATATTTTTAAATATTATGTAGTGGTGATGATGGTGATTGTTTCATAGACTCATAATATATTACATATCTTAAGCATGGTAAATACTAATTTATGAACTGGGTTACCCTTGCCTTCAGTACCTTTAATTTGTGCACTGTCATGATTCATTTTTCTATGTAAATCATCTAAAAGAAGTCTGCATATTTTCGAGGATCCTTAGATATATTAAATTCCATGAAACTATGTTGAATTGCTCTAATTATGCCAAATCTCCTCCCAAATTTGCCTGCATGTCATGTTTATATTGTTATGACTTTAGATGCCATAATCTTTATAATACTTTCAAGGAAATTAATTCAATTTGTTCAGGATCTTTTCAGGACCTGCATGTGTGCACACATATAGAACACAAACACAAATTGTGTCTGAAATAATGACAGCTAGATGAACAGGATATCACATGTTCATGAATAAAAATATTCAGAGGCTTTGAATATCAGGCAGCAATGAAATGAAAATGGTCAGTTCTGAAGGAAATTAGATTTTGTAATTTGTTTTGAATTCACGAGGGGGTGATCATGGTGAAATGGGTAGGTCATGTAGCACAAATGAGATGATAAATACATATAGAATATTGGTGGGAAAGCCGGAAGGAAGGAGACCAGTGGACAATATTAAAAATGGATCTCATAGAGTAGGATTTGATGGCATGAATTGGATTGATCTGGCTCAGGATAGGGACCAATGGAGGACTCTTGTGAACACGGTAATGAACCTCTGGGTTCCATAAAATGCTGGGAAATTCTTGAGTGGCTGCACAATTGGCAGCTTCTCAAGAAGGGCTCAGCTCCATGAGTGAGTGAGTGAGGGACTATTCACCCTCAATCACTCATAGAAACTGGTTTATTTGCAGAAGGCTGAATGCTTCTTCCCCTGTTATGCTAGCTCCAAATTGATAATCTGACTGTAACAAATCTGTCCATGAATCTCACAGGCTGAGTTCTTTGTTACATTACAGAAACAGTTTAAAAGTTGGCTAAATATCAGGAGAGCTGAAATGTGAAATATAAGACACACACAGTCATACTGAACACATACCTGATTTCTTTTCTTAATTTTAATATTTCCTTTGCATTATATTTGTATGAATGAAGGTGATTGCTATTGAAGTTTGAAATGAATGTCAGTATTCTACTGATACTCTGCGTGCTTTAATTATATTGATTAATATGTATCTTGTGTCACTTATTACTGTTTCATTGATATTGACCTTTGCTCTAACAACACATCCTTTGATACAATGTACCGGATCCAGCTACATCAGAACTATTCAAAATATGCCACGCACTCCTGATTGAGCAATATCTTCATGAGTATCGGCCTGTTATAAAATGGGAACATTGCAAGAGAGGCTGTCACGAGAGTAACATCATCAGGACAGGGACAACACATCTGCTTCCAACTGAAGACATAACAACACTGTCTGTGAGTAAGTATGTTTGGAGTATATTTTGATATACCGTTATTCAGTTACATGACATCCTTAGGTCTGAAGTGAAAGTCTCTAAGTTGCTTACTTGTAAGTTACACCACATCAAGTACAGAGGTTATGTAATACGAGTAGACAGACCTGTGAATATAAAGATCAGATGAAAGTGTTTGCAGATTATTTAAAAAACAACTAGTGTATGCAACATTTTAATGGACAAATCTCATGAAAGGAGCTATTGTTGGGACTGTTACATTAATATGAGAATATTATTAAAGTAGATCACAGGAAAATTGGTTTCTGTGTTTTTAATTGGTTTTAACTGGCTTAGAATATGCTTAAAAATAGGATTCTGTGATTACAGAATTACTCTGCTCTCAAATACCACAGAGTTTTATCTACATGGGTTGGTTATTTTGTTGTTTATGTTAGTTACCAAACTGCCACGCTTGAAGATTCTAAATGGTTCTGACGATGATGTATAACTTTTTGACTTTGTCCATCATCCATCCTCCAGTATTCTAAGAACTAGAAAAAAACAATGTTTTGGAAGCTGGGTCTGTTTCCAGCCTTGAGGGTGAGAAACACCTACTCTGTTAGGTCCCTTAGAAAGAGTGATTGAGGTTAGCTCTTTGTAAGGGACCCAACGGAGTAGGTTTCTCCCACCCTCGCCTAAGGACAGAAACAGATCCAGTTTCCGAAATGCTGTGTTTTCTAGTTTTTAAAATACCAGACTATGGACAGAGTCCAGAAACCCAGTAATTCTGAGTGTCATTCTTGATTTCAAAAAGAAAATTAATAGGGACAAGAGTATGAGAAGTCACACAAGTTGGAGACAATATTCTTTTACTTTTAATGAGGTGACAATAAGAGTGATAATCATAATAAATTGCATCAGTATTTTGTATAGAAACTCAGGCTATTATAATGTACATGTTTGCAGTTTAATGTAGCAAACATTTCCTGCTTTTGTTATCTCATAAAACGTTTCACTTCTACATTGAAGGGAACCACAAATTAGAACAGACCTCTGGAACAGTTCCAATACATTCAAGGTGGAACTTTGCCCTTCAAAGCATTTAAATCTTTTAAGTATATTAAGAGGTCAAAGGAAAGTGTTTTATCAGTTAGAATGTCAACAGAAACATTGATTAGACAATACTGATTTGTGTTATATCCCAAAATAATACTGATGCAGTGACGTCTAGTATGCTTGCTGATTACATGGTGTTCACAACTTGTATAAGTTGAGGTTTTAACAGCATTGATTGTTCAGATGTTGGTCCATTTCCTACCAGTGAGACAAAACTGAATTTCCCACCCATCTTTTCCATTGGCCTGGACTGGGTTTCTTTCACTACCCCCTCCTTTGGGTCTTCTCCCCACCTTCCTTGCTACCTGATTACATAATCAAGCCAGTTTCTGAACCTGTTTATTTCAACCCTGAAGATGGAGACAGGATGCTCTTCTGAAATCCCAGTATCTGCCTACATTACTGTATGTCACAACCAAGAATATTACAGCGTGAAAACATCATATCTTCTCTATAGCCCTTGGGCCTATAGTGTTTATCTCGCCGCATTCAAAGCAGGATCTCACAATGGATCTACAAATTAGATATGGATATATACTGTTACTGTACTGCTTATGGGGGAATGTGGAGTGACTGGAAATAAGCAAATAAAGTCACAGGTGCCTAGCACCAAGTTGATATTGTCTGTTACAGCAATACAGAAAATTAATAATATTGATGTGAGGCAGCTAATGCAGCAGTGGGGATTTTCTCACTTGATAAACAACACATAAACTTGACTTTATTCTCTCTGATTACTTGTTTACATTCTGCAACGTAATGATGATGTAACCTTCCTTGTTTGATTCTAGGCAAGAGACTGGCCCAGACACATGATTTCACAATCTACTGCAGTCAGTATTAGCATCGTAACTTCAGATTAGCCACAAATGCCCGTCTCATTTTTCTAAACTCAATGCTTACAGCCTATCTGTCATTTATTATCCAGCATCAACACCAGACCATGCAGTTCAAATAAATTAAGAAACAAATAACAGTAACAAGCAGAAAAAATCATGAATCCTCCATTCTGTGGACCTGAGAACATTAGTTCTTAATCATTTATCAGCTGCCAGAATTTGGCCATTGTGGTCACTTAACACTGCATCTGTAATTTTACTCATCAGCAAATTTGTATATATTTTTAAAATAGCTGACTTTTGTAACAAAAGAGTAAATTATTTGTGTAAACCATCAGACAAGAATGAGCCAAATGTGTTATATATCACAGTAATTCTCAACCAGTGATCTGTACATTGAACCAGCTCTACAGATTCCACTTAGTGTTATATAATATGCATATTACTATTCTAAAACTAGCAGAATTTTTAGTTTTTAATTTTCATTTAAGAACTAAGTACATTGGAATCCCCAGTTAATATTCCTTGATATATGGTTTTCCCCCTATTTAATGTTCAGTTTCAGTGATACCAAGTCAGTAATCTGAGTGTTAAATTTCCTTCCTTTAAGATCTTCAGTTCAGTGTTCAAATCAACTGTTCCCAAAGTAAACCTTACAAGGGGATTTCAATGTAGTTTGTGCTGATCAATTGTATAATGTGTTTACATAGAAAATCAATTATAATTGTTTTTCTTTCTAATATGGGAGGGGCATATAGCATGCATGGCGGCAATGACAAGTGCATAAGAATTTTATTTGCATAGGAGGAGACCACATGGGAGACTTAGATGTAGATGAGTTGATAATATTAAAATGCCCCTTAGAGAAATAGAGTTTAAGAACGTGGAATGGATTCATGTAGCTCAGGATATGGTTGTGTGATACACACTTGCAGATATGGTAACAATATTTCAGGTTACTTGATAAACTGATCAACTAAGAGCTTCACAGCGTTAGTGCATCCTATTCTTATGGTCCTTCACTGTAACTGAAGATAATTTTGATAAAGCTAGTCAGAGTAAGGGGGGGCACGCAGTGGTGTAGTTGGTTGAGGCACTATGCTACAAGCCAGAAGGTCACAGGTTCAAGTCCCGATGACGTCACTGGATTCTTTTCAGTTGACCTAATCCTTCTAGCTGCACTATGGCCCTGGGGTTGATTCAGCCTCTAACAGAAATGAGTACCAGGAATATTCTTTGAATGTTCTTGGGGGTAAAGGGTGGCCAGTGCATAGGGCTGACAACCTTGCCACCATCTATGAGCTGATTGTCTGGAAAATGTGGGAACCTCAACACCTCACAACCCTATGGGCCTCCACAGCCTGTTACAGGGATACCTTTACTCCTCTTTTACTTTTTTCACTTTTTAGTCAGAGTAAGGACCTGTGACCTTTTTTCACTTAGTGGGGTGTGGAGTCCAATTGGGTCCACTTGGCACGGTGGCCACTGATTGGCCTATTGTATATGCCCCCAGGTGATTATGATGATGGAGAATTTGGTGGAATGAACATTGGCAGGGGAAATTGGAGTACTCGGTAAAAACCCAGCCCAGCATCACTTTTTCCACCACAAATCCCACTTGACCAGACCCGGGATCGAACCCGGGCCGCCACAGTGGGAAGCCAGTGACTAACCGCTTGAGCTATGGTGCGGCCCACCTGTGACCTTTAATTAACAGTACTGTAAAATATAGTAGCTTCAGAGTGATATGTACATGCAGTACAGTTAGACAAATTAAATTATAAAAATGCCACTAATTCTGTAAAATTATGTTTGTCTGCAAATTCTTACCAGATCTACCATTCCATACAAAGCATCTGAACTTTTCAATTTACAAATGAATTGCTGATTACAAATATATTCTCACAGCCATATTATCAGCAAGCATGCACTGTAACTGTAATGTGTTCTCAGGACAGTCATGCAGAGTGTGCGTACTCTGGTTCTTGCTACTGCCAAATTTGGAAGTAAGGTTCAGAGCCTTAAAGCAAGCAGACAACTACGTTTTTCTTCCACCTTCTCGTCAACGTCAGGTTTCAGAGCTGTTCATAGCTCTGAAGTTAAGCACCAAGGTCCAGTAGCTAAACCCAAGGATGAGGAAAAGGTATAGAGATATCTGTGTAAGAGAATGTTTATCTGCCCTCTGTCTCAGTAAATGTGACAATTTGAAAATACAGACAATAAACTAGAATTACAATACTGCATATTAATACTTTGACAGTAAATTAAATATAAAATAAAAAACGATTCTGTGTAAAAGAAATAAACTTGCTGTACAAGTGTTGATTGATCAGGCTTATTGCATGCTTTAGAGATGATGCCATGTGAATGTTATCCCACTTCCAAGGGAAGCAGGTTATCTGCTTTTGAATTAACACATGTCATTCTGAATGTTTAAACACCGAAGGAAGTAATACACTAAAAGTACTGTGAACTAAAAACATTACATTTTGACCTCTTATAAAGGCCATATTTTTTAATGTACTTTAATTTTAAAAATATCACACAGCTCTATTTCATAAAGTCTAGTCTACTGTAAGAAACTTTCTGAATACCATGTAAGGGATGGATTAAGATAGTCTCACTGGCATTACAGTATGCAGTTAGGTTTACTGCAGATTCAATATACACTTGCTAATTCGCTTTGTCACAAAATATTGTCACATGAGTGTGTGATTATAGATGGGGTTTGGATTGGTAATTGTCAGATTTATTGGAAACTTACAGATTGTAACTACAGATGCCTAAAACAGTCTCACATAGTTACACACTCCAAAGATACATGCAACTGTAACTACAGCACATATCAAGTCTTCACAGTCTTCAGTATCCATTGCTTGGAAGCAGCGTCCAACAGTGGACGTTCCCCTTCCTTTGGGTTCCTGCACTGTCCATGGCCTCAGCTACCAGCTTCTCATTTCTCACAACTGCATCTCAACGAACTAGTATCCTTGTTATATAGCCCCGACATGGACATCACGGAAAATGTCCCTTTCATTATTGCATGCTCTCTTTTTGCCAGGGAAACAACATGTCCACAGAGTTGTTCCCTAGCAGCGGCTGTTGCACTGTCGCATGTTTACACAGCTGTTACTTGGCAATGAGTCTACATATCACAATATGAAACCCTTAAACGACATACTTGCTTAATGTCAAGGACATAAATATGCATGACTTTGGATGTGCGCTTCAAAGGTTTAAACTGAGAATTTCAGACAAGTCAGTTTGTACTTACAGTTTGATAACTCATGCAGTAATAATGTGTTTAAATTGATTAAAAATCAATTTAGCAACAGGTGGTGCTGGTAAATGCAATACGAGACATTGATGGCAGCATGATTACTATTGGAACATCCACTGGAGAGCAGCACCAGTATCCTAGTGTATGGTTGCGAGATAACTGTCAGTGCCCCAAATGCTTCAACACGACAATGCAGTCACGAACAGTAGACTGGAAGTACTTTGACATCAACATTAAGCCGACCCATGTTATGGTATGTAGAGTACAAACTCTACCCTTCTGAAAATAAAAATATTTACCATCACTGGCACTACTAGACACCGTACAAAAAAACACAAATTTTTATTTAAGAAAAAAGATAGTGCTAAACTGACAGTACTATTTATAACTTATTCTTCAAATGTAGGCAGAAGAGAACCAGCTGAAACTGGTGTGGAATGATGGGCATGAGAGTGACTATGACTTAAACTGGCTTCTGGAACGAAGTTTCACAGAAAATGTGCGTAAAGAATGGATGAAACAGCACTACCCTATGACAAGGATTTCTTGGGGTACCGTTGACTTTAACAAAATCCTCAAAAAATATGACTTCAATGATATTCTCAACAGGTGAGCCTGTGATTATATTAATTTAAATGCTTGAAGTTTCAGGGCTTTTGTCTGATATTCTAAACCAAATCTGACAGTGTGATTCAGGCCTGACCTTACAGTAACAAATTCATACTTCTTTACCTCTCCTACCTACATAGACATATCTGTTTTGTGTTCTGAAGATTCTTGTACGAGAGATATTGGGTAGATAACTAAGAAAAACACAAAGCTTCGGAAACTGGATCTGTTTCCATCCTCAGGTGAGGGAAAACACCTATTCTGTTGGGTCCCTTAGAAAGAGCTAGCCTCAATGAACTGGACCTCCAGTTTCCGAAACGTTGTGTTTTTCTTAGTTATCTTAAAACCAGGACGATGGATAAAGTCCGAAAACCCAATATCTCTGTGAGTTATACACCATCGTCAGAATCCTATAGTAACTACATGTATTGGGATGCTGTCCCAGCTGTGTTTCTCCACATTTTGAATCAAATGCCACCATGGCTTATAGCAAGGCATTTTTAACACTCCAGTATTATCCTATCCATATTTCTGGGCTTGCATGGTGTCTGCTATGTACATCTGAGGAAATGTCTATTTCATTTCATTGAATCCATAGTTTGAGTTTGTTACTAATTTCTGATAAAAGAAAAGAGAATTGAAAAATCCCTATCCTTCATATAATTTATTCAAGCTGATGGAAATATTTAATAAAAAATCTTAAGTTACAGTGAAACCCCCATTTACTTTTCCCTGATTTGTGGTTTTTTCTCATTTAAAGTTCAGTTTCATTGAAGTTAGGATACCTCCACTTAAGATCTTCCTCAGATTAGTGTTCAGAACCACTGATCACAAAAGAAACCTGAAATTGGGTTTTCACAGTATACTGCAATACAGAAAACCAAAGATTATTGTATTTTGGCTAATACAGAAATTAAATTAATTCATTGCTCTTATTCATATAACTCTGTCAGTCTCACAGTTCTGATACCCTGGAGACCAGTGTTTGGTCAAAACAGAGCAGGACCATGAACATCTCATAATGTGCCGACATAACAACCCTTTTCATGGTGGGTTATGTTTAAACGAAACCTTCTGTAACATCTTAAAGTGTAATATATAATTCCTTTTGTTAGAAAGCTGAAGTAGTTAGTTCTAACTATTGAGCTATGGTGAGAGGCATTTCTGTCACTGATCTTTCCAAACGAAAATGGTTCTATGCATAAGGACCAGCATTTTGAATCAAGATAACTACTAAATAAGATGTAAAAGTTTGTGATGATGGTATGTTAACAGTTATTATGTTTTTGGACATTATCCATCATCTTCTTTTTTATTATTATTTAAAACACGTTTTGGAGACTGCATTCGGTCTCCATCATCAGGCAAAGACCTACCCAGTCAGGCCGAATTGATAGAGCTAGTCCCTATCTCCAGAACTAGTTTTATCAATTGGGCCCAACTGAGTAGATTTTTACCTGAAGATGGAGATAGAATGCAGTCTCTGAAACGTTGTGTTTTAAATAAAAACAGGACAATTGATAATGTCAAAAAACACAATAATTGTAGATACCTAGTGCACAACATGCAGAGGATTTCAACAGTAACTAGAATTTGGCTTGTATCACATGATACAATGTGTCAACTATTAATAAATATTAATAGTAAATGTACAATATTGTTCTGGAATACTTTATTCAGAAGCAAATAGTCATTCTTTTTGTCTTCTCAGTATAATTACTTTGTAAAAATGAAACGTCTTGCAGTGAGTATGTTTAGTTCAGCGGTAATGTGTATGTAACTTGTGTTCAAAAGGTTTGGCTTAAATATTGAACGTAGAGCTAAGTACTTCTGTTGATGGTTTTTCTCCATCCCTTGAGATAATTTTAGGATAATACCTTAAAACTGACCACAATCATTTGCACACACAGCATTAAAGTAACCCTGCCATCTCATTCGGTGCTATCTCATGTTTGCCATTAGTACAGTATCACCCACCCATGGAGCCCTTCTTGAGAAGCCGCCAATTGTGCAGCTATTCAAGAACTTCCTAGCATTTTATGGAACCTGGAGGTTCATTACCATGTTCACAAATGCCCTCCACTGGTCCCTATCCTGAGCCAGATCAATCCAATCAATACCATCCCATCCCATCCCATGTCTCTAAGATCCACCTACCTACTCCTCGGTCTTCCCAGTGGTCTCTTTCCATCTGGCTTTCCCATCAATATCCTATATGCATTCCTCCTCTCCCCCATTCATGCTGCATGCTGTGCATGTAGACTACAGATCAGTTAGCAATTATTTCTTTCTTTAGACTGAATGCTTAGAAACACAGCATGTGACACATTTTGTAAGAACTTGTGTCAGTAAATGGTACTACTATGTGTTTCAGTGATGCAACATTGCTAGACTGGCTGGAAAATATTGCAACATATGGAATTGCTCTCATTGACAACACACCACCACAGGAAGATCAACTGAGGAGAGTTGCTGACAGAGTAGGCTTCATCAGACGAACACAGTATGGGTAAGGAATTTATCTGACCTGTAACTTGCACCTGATGTATGGGAATACCTTCTCCTGCAAGTGAAGAACAGGAATGCGAGCAAAACATGCCTGTGGAAAGGTGCATATGCCAAACAAGAATTTCTTATCAAATGGCATTCTCTTGTGTAACAATCATTAGTATAGCCAAAATCATAAGAAACAATAATGCAACATCTCGTTTATGAGTCATGCGATTTCATATGCACAGTGTATAGACTGGTGAGACACACATTTTAATATATCTGTGATTTCGGACCCTGCACGCTCACTGTATTACACCTCACAAATTAAGGTCAGTTTCTGGTTAGTGGTGGAAGTGGTACTTTATTCAATGAACCTGATGACAGTTTGCAACCTAGTAGTAGCTTTCTCAATCTTGCAGCATAAGAATTGGTGTTCTGAGGCTCATCACTCTCAGAAACGTTGCAGATAAGCTCCAGAGAGCCCACAGTAAGACTGAAGCATGTTGTTCTTGCAACCAGTGTAGCATGTGAGAGTATTGTGGAGAGTTTTGAAGTACAATATTTATATTTCAAATGGGTTATTTATTTATTTATTTACATTTATACATTCCGTTGATCCTTATGGTACAGCTGACCAGTGGATATGGATTTTGTCCCAAGCTAATAGATTAAAATACGCAAAATACAAAAACTACATACATACTTTTGTCATTAAGACAGTTAAAAGATTTATATTAATGTACAATGCATAAAATGATCAAAATTATAAAACAATAACTGATACAAAATACTTAGGTAATGATATATAATTATAACATATCAGGGGTACAATTACCAATTTTAATTACATACATGGTTAAAGTATTCCTCTAAGGAATAAAAATAATTTGAAAGAAAAAATCTTTTTAGCCTCAGTTTAAATAGTTTCACATCATTACTCATACTCTTGATTCTGGATGGCAGGTGGTTATAAGCCTTAATACCAAAGTAATATGGTCCTTTCTGAAAGATTGTTAGGCGTGATGTGGGAAGGTGCAAATTTGTGGTATGTCTAGTATTAAGATTGTGGGTCTCATAGTTTGAACTGTAAAGGTCTCTATTATTTACAACAAACAGAATTATAGAGTATATATACTGTGAGTACATGGGTAATATTTTTAGGTTTTTGAATAGTTCCCTACATGAGTCTCTAGTTCTTACATTCATAATAGTTCTAATGATCCGCTTTTGCATTCTGAAAACATTTATACTAGTTGCTGAGCTACCCCAGAAAATTATCCCATATTCCATGATAGTATGCACATAGGCAAAGTAGATCATCCTTAGGGTTTCCTGTGACATGAGACCTCTTACAGTTCTAATTGCATAGCAAGCTGCACTCATTTTAATTACTAATTTATCAATATGAGACTTCCATGATAATGTTTCATCAATATAAATACCTAGAAACTTAATATTTGGCACATTAGTGATATTCTTATTTTGATGATATATGCTTATGTCTGTTACCAAACTATTTTTAGTCCTGAACAGGAGATGGTGGGTTTTATTAAAATTTAAGGATAGCAGGTTAGCTTCAAACCATTTGTTTATGGCTAAGAATTGTTTATTCATATTAATTTCCAAATTATGAGGGCTCGAATCGGATATTATGATACTAGTATCGTCAGCGAATAAAATAATCTTCGCATTATTTGTTATTACTTTGGGTAAGTCATTAATATACAGTAAGAAAAATAAAGGACCTAATATAGAGCCTTGTGGGACACCATATTTGATGATCTCCCAATCAGAAAAGGTGGTATTATAGGTTGTCCTATTATTTAATACTACCTTTTGGTATCTATTGTTCAAATAAGACTTGATTAATTTTTTAAATACTCCATTTATCCCATAGTATCCCAGTTTATTTAAAAATATTTCGTGGTTAACACAGTCAAATGCTTTCTTCAGGTCACAGAAAATGCCCCCAATAGTTAATTTATTGTTCATGGCTACTAAAATTTCATTTAATAATTTAAAAGAGGCCCTATTTGTTGTAGAGTTTTTTCTAAATCCATATTGATCACTAGCAAGTATCTTATTTTGTATTAGATGCTGGTTAAGCCTTGAATATATTACCTTTTCAAATACCTTAGAGAAAGCCGGTAACAAAGATATTGGTCTATAGTTAGAGATGTTAAGTTTATCCCCACTTTTAAATACTGGTTTTACTATTGAAAATTTCAGTCTAGTTGGGTAAATTCCTGAAGAAAGAGATTTATTTACAATATATGTTAGCGGAGAACTAATAAATAGGGCACTAGCTTTCAATATTGCGACAGGTATCTCATCATAACCATGGGAGTATTTGGCTTTTAAGGATTTGATGATTCCTTCTATCTCATGGGTAGAGGCATGCTTAGGTCGAATATTTGACAGCGGACTCGTGAACATTGAGGACATATAATTTAAATAGTTATCATGCATAGGCTGTCCAGTTTTACTAATACTTGTATTATCAATAATATCCTCAGCAACTGTTACAAAATAATCATTAAGATTTTTTGCCATGATTTGTTGGTCGGAAGTTATAATACCCTTAATATCAAGGGATTGAATGTCTACTTTATCTTCTTTTTTCCCAGTTTCAGTTTTGATTATGTTCCAAATAGTTTTTGATTTATTTTTAGAGTCTATAATCCTCCTGTCGTAGTGAATTTTTTTAGCCGCTTTGATGACATTAGTTAGAATTTTACAGTATTGTTTGTAATGTTCTTTTAATTTAATATCATTACTAGTCCTACACTGTAAATAAAGATTTCTTTTGTTTCTACATGAAATACGTATTCCTGTAGTTAACCATTCATGAACATTTGGTTTGCTCTTTATTTTTCTTCTCGTAAAACTGGAGTAGAAAATCCTAAGATAGGTATTGAGAAAATTATTAAACATTATATTTACGTCAGTTGCTTCAAAAATATCTTCCCACATCTCAAAGCTCAGTTTGAGCTTAAAATTAGCTATAGAGTGTTTATTGAAATTCCTTATGATTTGGGTGGTATTATTTAATCCTTGTATATTAAGATTTTTAAACTTAATAATTTGGGCGTCATGGTCCGATAGGCCGTTAATATGGGGATATACATTATAATTATTGTTTTTAGACACATCTAAAAAAATATTGTCAATGGCCGTTGCTACTTCATTTTGCACTCTAGTTGGAAAATTTACAACACTGGTTAAATTAAATGTAGACAGTAAGGTATCAAATTGCTGCTTTTTTTTACAGTTGTTATCTAGGTAGTTTATATTGAGGTCCCCACATATAATAAAATTTATATTTACATTATATAGATTATTCAGAATATTTTCAATCATCTTCAAAAACCACTGGAAATTCCCATCAGGAGACCTATAGATAGATATAACACAGATGATAGAAGTTGATAAGTTAATTTTTATGGCACAAACTTCAATGTCTTGTTCCTTGCAAAATTCTTGTAAATTAATAGTTATAAAACTTATAAATTCATGAATAAAAATGCATGTTCCACCATCTTTTAATTTTTCTCTACAGAATTTTGCTCCTAACTTATAATGTTCTATTGGTGAGCTTTCCAGTTCAAATTCCCTTAAATGGTGTTCCGTTATGCATAAAATATGAGGGAGTTCCGGGAGTAGTGAGTTTAACATTTCAGTTCTTTTGTTTCTCAGTCCCCTAATATTTTGATGGTATATCATTATATTGTCGTCTGCTTTATTAAGTTCTAAATTATTATGCCCTATCTGGGGTTTAAATTTTATATGTGAGGTATTGTGAACGTTGTTTACCATAAAAAATCATTATTCCTAATCACAGGAACTTTTTTCCGCCTATTTGATGTCCTAGGAGGAGTTACTTCAGAAATTATTGTTTCCTCATGGATGAAATTACTATTTCTTTTTTCTGGGGATTGAGTTCTGTTTCCCAATGCATCAATAGATTCTCCCTTTATTTGACCATTTTTCCATCCCAGACTAATTACACCATCATCTTTTTTCCCCAAAATATTGGGCAGTTGGGCTACTGTTTGTTTTGCAATCATTTCTTTTCCTTTCCCATTTAGATGCAAACCATGTTTAGTAAATAGTTCTCTGGTGGGATTAGTTTCGAGGACCATAGTATACTTGCTAATTTTTACTTGTTTCTTTAACTTCCTATTGAAGGATTTGATTTCATTATTAACACAAGAGAAGTCCACCAGATCATGTCTATGGGGAGCACTTAATATTATGAAATTTGTGTGATTGTTTGTTTCTACAAAGCTTATGATCTGATTTAAAGCTATTTTAGCCATATTCTTATTTACTTCATAGGAGCCACCACAGAACACAACCACATCACTTTTTGTTAACTTTGCTATGTCACTCATTCCTGATTTCACTATTTTCTCAGTTCCTGCACCAGGTTTGACGAAACCAATTACTTCAAAGTTCTTGTCCAATTGGTGCTTCACTTCTTTTGCCAAGCCTCTTGAGTGACTATCACCTATAATTACTATCTTATGATTTCTTTTATTTCCAACCTTTTTATTATGTTTATCCAATGTGTCCTTACATGCCATGATTGTACTCGATGATTTTGAAGGATCCATCATTTTTCCTTGAGTGGATTGTTGTACCTTCTGCTTCTTTACCACAATTCTTCCGGTCATATCCTCGGAAATATCTACTCCAGCATTATTCTCATTGAGGTTAGGTAGGGAAGCAAAGCGATTTGTAATTGTTGGTATTGGCTGGATAACATGTTTATGTTGTTTATTGCTTCTATTTCTTCTGCTGTTTGATACATTTGTCCAGTTATCAGGTATGAAACCGGAATGATTATATTCCGAGCCCTGGTTTAAATCATGCGTAACTGAGTCTGTTTTAGTGTTTCTTTCCTCTTGTAATAACTTTATAATTTCTCTGGCTGAATAAAGTTCCAAAAGCACTTCTTCATACTTCATTTTGTTTTGGTAGCAACAATTACATACATTATCAGTGAGAACTTCTGCCGAAACGATGGAAACTGGAGCCGCTGACAAACCATGTGCAATACAGTAAATTAAAATGAGTCATAAAGAAAGTAACATAAACCTTAGGACAGTATAGCCTATTACAGTGAAAAGTAATATCTTCATAGTACAACTCCAAGGTTGGTTCTCAAGACTGAAAAATATTACCGTAACCCTCCTGTTCCATGAGACGCATATTCTCCGTTACGCAATGTAGTTTTGCAAAATAAGCTTTGTGGTGATCAGTACACTAAGTGCTTAGCACTTCTACTTTATATGGTGCATGTCCTGAGTTTGATTCTTAGCCTGAAGCTTGTTATCCCAAAAGTTTGGTTTCTGTGGGTTTTCTCAGTCTATCCAGGAAAATGCTCCATCGGTACCTTAAAATAGACCACCATGGCTGCTTCCACTTTCACCAAGTCATTGCTATATAACTTTGGTTTAGAAAGGGTAATTAAATAAATTAATGAACAAACAAATAGAAACTACACAGACTGTCTTTCAACTTTCCTTACGTTTGTTTGCATGTTATTCTGTGTTCAGTTTTAATTTTCGCAGTGTCACACGTTCATAAATATAACTAAAAGTTCAATCTGAATAAGAATATCTGAAATATCTTTCACAGATTGAGTTATACAATGAATGTAATGATTCATCAAACCTGAATGTCATGTATTTCTAAGCCTCATACATAAAAATTTCACTGACCGATGAACCGGATGTCACCAACTCAAACAACACCATGCAGTGTATATGACGTGTGCACTTTGAACAATATCACAACTCAGTATCGCTATCATAATTTTTTCTAGAGTATGATGGTACAGAACAAGTAAAATCTTATGAGACAAATATTTTTGAAGCAGCACACCTCAGAACTTATCTCTGACTAACTGTATTACTGCAAAACCACAGCTAGCCAATTAAGAGCCCCAGTTAGTATCTGTGTTGTGCTGTTCAAAGGGAGGAGTACATGGTGAAGCACCAGCCAGGGACCAGCAACCTGGCATACACATCAGGAAACCTCCAGATGCACACAGACTTGCCATACTATGATTACAAGCCAGGCGTAAGTAAAAGCAGGGAAGTTGTGTTTAAAGTGAACTGTACTGGTAACATAAATTTAATGGCAGACTAAATGCATGAGAACTTGTATTTTATGAAATCATGTGGAAATCAAAACCTTCAACATGACAGGGTGACATTAAAGCAGTTTGGAAAATTGGTAAAGAAGTTAAAACCAGTCACTTTCACCATCAGACATGTGGCTTTCCAGAATTATTTTTATTGAAGTTTCAATGAAATGTAATCATTTTAGAAAATGGACTCCATAACTAAGGGATTTTAGGACATTCTATTATAATAGAGTTACAGACCCCTTCTTGAAACGAACAACCGTGTAGCGATACATTTATCTTTGCCAGTTCTGTTCACCTGCAGATGATCCACAGAAGCAACATTACATTGAAATAATACAATTTCAGGCTTTCACTATGAAGGAAAATGCCCATGTGGCTTCAGGATTGCAGTTTTATGTGATGACTGTCACAGGAAGAAGGGCAACGAAGACAAAAGAGTGTCAGTATGATAGCGAAGGCTGGCATCTAAATAACAATTTTTTAGCCTACTTCCCATATTTTGAGATCACTTCGCTGTCTGTGTTTCTGTGTGCCCCCCCCTTAAAAATCTATAGTAGTGGAGCCAGAAATGGCGGCCATTGCTAGATAACGGTTCATTAAACACATTCCCATGGCAATGAATGGACACACAAAAACAGAAACACTGTTCTACATGGTCCGTCACATCAAATGCTCAATATGTAATGAAAGGAAAGCAGGAGATGAATTCTGCCCAGAACTACTTGTTCTATTATGTCTGTTTTAATGTAATTTTTCGGGATGACAGTGAACTGGCTGTAAATATTTTTATTAAAGAACTGATGCAGAACACATGTAAAGAAGGGAGGAGAATACTGGAATTTCAGCAAAAGATGAACAATTCTTTGCAATTCTTGTTTGTCTATCTTTCTTAAATGATGCTCTGACATTTGAAGATTGTAAACATCATTTTATACCCCTGGGTGATCTCTAAAGATCATGGAACATCACTTCAATATTGATGGAGGAATTTCAATAAAATAATTGGAGTTACTTTGTAGATCAAGTAAGTTATATATACAAAATAACTTCTTGGAGATTAAAGCTTCATTCCATAGGAGTATCTGGTAAAAAAAATGACACATCTAGGTCTTAAATTGGCTAAGATTTATCACAGTACTTGGGGGTCACTAGGGGTCCATAATTGAGCCCTTAAAAATGTTCATGGAATTTTTTACAAAATTCATGCTCTCCTATGTTAAAAAATCACAAACAGTTTTGCACAGATTAGTACTAAAATACAAGTTTTTAAAATTTCAGTGTTCCCCTCCCTTAAACTGTATACATTTAGCCTACTTAGCAAGGATGAATGGAAGTAACTTCTGAGGTGAGAACACCGATTTAATCTATGTAATTCTGGTAGATCAACATGCTGCACTGTCTGGTGCAAACAGAAGGTACTGGTGGAGAAAACCAAGTCACAGATGCAATGCATGTAGCTGAAAAACTGAAGAGGGAAAAACCTGAAGTCTACAAGGTGCTAACAGAAACTCCTGTTGAATGGTGTGATATAGGCCAGGAGTCTGGGTATTCATTCCACAGCCTATACCGGACACCTGTCATACTGTAAGTATTACTGCTGTCCCGGCCAACATAGTTCTCTGGAAAGAACTTTTGCAGGGGACAAGGGACCTTTATGTAAAACATATCTGTACTCCAAAACTGCTTTACATTATCATATACAGTATACTGTATACATGAGAAAGCACTGTGATCTCATGAAAAACTTTGATGCAGAGATTATGACAGAAACACGTCTGTATTTCATTCATATTCGGTATTTAAGACTTTATCCATGATAGGCCAGCCCCTGGTAAACATGAATATCCAAGCCGCAAAAATAAAGTCCCTTCTGAGAGGCCTCAAAAAGAAAATGGCAGTTTACTTGAAAATAGCTGTAATGATTTTGATTAAATTTCAGTATCTATCTCCCTATACAAAGCTGCTATAGTATAGGTGTTACCTTCAGAAAAATAATGGTATGTGCACTAGGAGTCCAACTAGAAGTCCACAGCTCTCATTACATAGCCAGAGCATGGAACGCATAAAAAACCTCTTCTATTGAGCTTAGTTGCGCAACCTATTAACTGGCACATATCTTATAACAATGGATTTCCTACTGTTGTCACGTTCTTGAGGGGGAAGGTCTTTACTGGCTTTCAGATAGAAATGGCAGTTCTTCTATCACTGCATGTATTTGTTGCCACAAGAATGTTTATGGACATTTCCTCTGTTGTTATAGAATCGGCCAATACGTCATAGTATTTTGTTATGTGAATCACTTAATAGTTCAGAAGAGCAATTCATCATCCTTTCCAGTGGATGAAGGTACAAAATACACAACAAAATTCATAAAAGGTAAGAAGGTAAAGTTATCCCTGTAACAGGGCGTGGAGGCCCATAAGGTTGTGAGACGTCAGGGCTCCCACATTTTCTAGATAGTTGGCTCACAGATGGCGGTGAGGTTGTCAGCCTTTTGCACCGTGGCCGCCCTTTACACCCAGGAAGATCCCTGGTACTCATTTCTGTAAGAGGCTTAGTCTATCCTAGGGTCATAGTGTGGCTGGAAGGATTAGCTAAATTGAAAAATCCAATAACCTCAAAATTCATACAAATTAAAATGAGGGGGCAAAAACTGCCTTCAGAGGTATGAAGAGACATCATACATTAATAACAATTCAAACAGACATAATGTCATTAGTTTACAGTAATTGTATTTTACAGCAACGACTCCAATGGTGATTTTCTACGTGCTGACTATAGCCAGCAACAGCGAGACTCACACTTTTCTGTGCCTCTTGATCAAGTCATTCCCTGGTATGAAGCACATGCAGCATTCACTGAAGAACTTTACAACCCCGAGAATACGGTGTACTTCAAACTCAAAGAACGTATGTCTATCAATAACACATATACACGTATAAGTAAGTCTTGTGCATTGATGCGGTAAAATTGAAGTCAAATCTCACTGTATATTACAGCCAAACACAATAAACAAAATAATATAAGAATATTTTATTCAATTTAAAAATGTAAGAAAACAAAGCTCTCTGTGGATATGTGCATTAACTACTTTTCTATCCTACTCTCCTGAGGCTTTTGTGTTTTCCCTCAGCCTCCTCTCACAAAATTTTGGATACTACCTTAAAATAAGACATGATCACTTCCTACCAGATCCTTCAGTTACTGTGGGATTCACTGTTTCACAACATGTGCATGTAATAAAGTACTGTCAGTAAAACAAATAATAGTATTAACTACTCAGAATGTTTGGAGCTCAGTTTGTACAGCAACAGCATACGGGTTGGATGGCCAGGATTCATTCACTGGGCAGGGGCAAGAGACTTCTCACCAGTGTCCAGGGCCCATTCAGCTCCTATCGAATGGGTACTGAGGGCTGTTTCCCCAGGGGGTAAAACATGTCAGTGATAACCCCTCAACACACACACAGCAAAGTAATGCATCCTTGCCCCCTCATCATCACTAGTCTGGAACACATTTATCTTGTTGCATATATCATTTCTAGTCAGCTGATGGTAGTCACAAAGAACATATATTAATGCCCTCACCATCTCTATGCTGTTTTGCCACAGGTGAAATTCTTGTATTTGACAATATACGACTCCTACATGGACGTAAGGGTTATGAAGACAAACCGAGCAACACCAGGCATCTTGTGGGGAGTTACGTAGACTGGGACGTCGCTTATTCACGCATCAGAGTCCTTCGCAAGAAGCTACGAGGGCACATACGTTCTCATCTCTCCTCAACACCTGTACAGAAATGTACGTAAAGTATATGGAGTGCAGATGTAAATAAAAGCAATTCTGCATCCGCAACGTACCTGACTTATCTGCATTACTGCATATACATTTTGAATTTTCCTGAAATAAAAATTCACATGCACTTTTTCTGCCCTTTCAAAAGATGTCTCTGAAGGGGTGAAGCTCCACTGTATTTTATATTATTTATAAACTGCTGAAGTACTAGTACTACTGTGTGTGGCAGCATAACTTCTGTGACATGAGTCTCTGCCAGCTTTGTACTGTCCCCAGTAAAGTATCTGTATAAGTGTGTATATGTTCTCCAGAAAAATGTTTGTGACAAAGCTAAGCATGAATAAGGCTGGAAATGCACATTCCATATCACAGTACGCAGACGTTCCACGTGTGCTCTTTGCCTTGCATCTTTAAATGGATGTAACATTACGATAATATATATTTATCCCTGTATGAGAGTACACTTCTGTGACATCAGCCTTTACAAAAAATTGAAATGGCCCAGCAGATTTTGTGAGATTTTATCAGATTTAAACAAAATCTATCCAGCAGTTGAGATGAAGCATATGGATGCATGGATAGATACAAACAGCCTTCACTCTCAGTTTTCCATTTTTATGCATATCAGGCACAGAATTCACAATATATTAACCCTTTGAAGGCTATGAGATAGCCTGCTATCGGGGTTACATAAGCTACTTTATCGGTTGTGAAGCATTCCTAGAAGAAAGTTTAAATATAGTTTCGTTATACAACAGATATGGCAAATTTATACAGATATTTTACAATAATTCTGAGCCAATTAAGTTAGTGTGTTTGAATTTATTTTATGCAGGTAACATGAGCATATTGTATAAGTAGTAACCCCATGGGTACAAACTGTTCATACACTTTAGTATGTTATGTAACATATAAAGAATTAAGATTTAAAATATTGTAATGTTGCAGATGCTTGTGGGAACTGTTAGAATAATTCCCATAAACAATTCGCAGATTGAGAAGAAAGAAGTCTTCTGGGATGTGGCACTCTGTAGATATTGTGTTCACCGACGTTTCGGAGGAATGTATCGCCTCCATCTTCAGGGTAGAAGAAAAAAGAAGAAAATCCACAAGCGAGGAACCAGTGTGAGCAGGTGCTAACAAGCGAGGAACCAGTGTGAGCAGGTGCTAACAGACTAGTCTTTTTTTTCTACCCTGAAGATGGAAACGTCGATTAACACAATATCTACATGGTGCCACATCCCAGAAGACTGCTTTCTTCATAGTCACCGCCATGTAAACCTCAAGTCTTACATAATTCACATTCTTCATGAACAAGATCATTTGTTGCATTGTTACAACATTTATCAAGTTTTCATATTGGGATTACATAAAACCATGGTTTGTTACCATCTTAGTGTTTAACTGCACCACTGTCGTCAACAGTATGGACGGTGATTATTGCATGCACTTTTCAGTTCTGATTCAGACTGTGATCACAAAAGTTGCACTTATCTTTTTTCTTTGTACTGACACCAATATGAATTATGACCACATGACAGTGCACAACCAAATTACAGAATTCTGTCATTACAGACTCTGCAAAACATGACCATAAAATTCAGTTTTCATATTACAGTCTGTACATATGCAGCAGTGATTTAGCATGAATGCTATTCCCATCTTAGTTAGACTGTGCAAGCCCTTGTTTAAGATGTCCAGAAAGAGGCCATCAAGTTCAGGTGATGCATACACCTAATTGGGCATGGAAAGAAAAAAAAAATATGTTTGTGTTTTTATTACAACTGCAGACCAAACACATTTTTATAGGCACACATCTCTGCTTATAACATACAAGTAGTGGCACTATGAATATCCAAAAAACAGACACATGTCAAGAACATGTTTGCTTCTGTAACATAAGAACATGCTCTATATTGTTACTGTCTTCGATATGTAATTTCTGTTCACTATAAATAAAATACTACAAAATGAATTATGTACTTCTATATCTATCATGTACACTTAGGGCAGTAGATCGGAAGCATCTGGAAAGTTTCAAAATGTGTTGTTGGATTAGGATGGAGATCAGTTGGACCGATTATGTGAGAAATGAAGAAGTGTTAATTAGAGTCAGTGAGCAGAGGAATATCCTACACGAAATAAGAAAACGGAAAGCTAATTGGATTGGTCATGTTTTACGCAGAAACTGCCTTCTAAAAGAAGCTATTGAAGGAAAAATAGAGGGGCGGATAGAAGTCACAAGAAGACGATGAAGAAGACGTAAGAAGATGCTGGATGACCTTGGGGACAGGAGAGGATACTGTCATTTGAAGGAGAAAGCTCTAGATCGCATTAAGTGGAGGAATTGTTTTGGAAAAGACTGCGGACCTGTCATCTGACAGATTACTGATGATGATGATGATATCTATCATCTATTTCTATCAAGCATTAGGCATTACTGTTTGCATTAATTAATTCTGCACTGTGGATTATGAAAACTGAACTCCCTTTACTACAGCTCTGTCCCTCCTCCACTACTAGAGTTGCCACACAGTCAATCTAGTCTTCAGCCACGGTGCTGTTAGCATTACTCAGCAGTTCATGCCAGTGATGCTTTGAAGGAACGCACTATACCGATCACTTGTCACAATGGGTGTTGCAAACTGCACAGAAACACAGAATATGATATGTATAATGATGTTGCCAGTACTGTGATTAGAAACAGAGTGACTATGTCCTTGTGGTTGTTTATTTCACAATGCTGTCACCATCTTAGACTATACAGAATGGAATAGTAGGATGGTTGGCGAACCGGAAAGGATTTGGAACACAGTGGTCATGGCTTAATTGCGGTACTATCCAAGAATTTGCATATGAGGACTATGGAAACCCATGAAAACCCTGTCAGTATAGCCGGTATCCCAGGCAAGATTAACCAAGCATAGTGTGTTACCACTACACTAGTATGTTCAGTCATGCTCCTCTGTCTCCAGCACAAAAAGCTCCTGTGCTCAAATACAGACTTTCCTACACACAGCAGTCATAGCTCTCAGGGTCACAGGAACCAAAGTAATCAATCAATTAGTGAAAGTGTGACCTCTAAGTTTGGTTAAAACTCCCAGCTCCCCATAATGCTGCCAGAAGGTGCAACACCCAGACACTCCTAGTGACGTACAACACATTATTACCAAATTCTGGGCAAGAATTGAATTAAGTGACTTACGCCATGGTTATACCTGGATTTTCAAACCTAGTTCCTATTTAATATTCTTTCAGAACCAATCAGAAGAAATTTTCAAAATCATAATTCAGAAAGATATCTGCTTCAGTAGACCATCCTGTTTGAACAAGATTTAAAATTTCATTCGACATGGTCACATCATCAGATAACAGGTTCGATATCTTGTTAATGTTATAACCGTAACTTTGGCTGACTGCAAGAATGTTATCTTCATGCATTCCCAGCTAACCGGATATTCTGGTACACCACTATCCTGCAGACTTAAAAACAGTGAAAACTATGAGTCCTTTGACAACAAAAAGTGACTCAAACTAGTAAAAATATTCCAGTTTGTTAACAACATTATTACGTCTCATCACAGGCCTTCTCATGTTTTCCTGGACTCAAACTTCATTACAAACCTGTAGACACTAGGACGGAAGCTAAATGGCACACTTCATCAGACTGTCCCATTTCCTCAGTCAATTCATGTTATTTAAGGCACTAAAAATGTATTTTTACCCTGAGAATGAGATAAATATGTAAAAGAGAAGAGAGGCTGGGTACAAAATAGACAAAATTCAACATTTTCCTTATCCTACCAAAAATACATGACCTAAAAATCAATCTTACAGGACCTTGAAACAGATCAAGGCCACTCAAACGTCACATAGTATATACAATAATCACAGGTTCTGTAGCTTATGACAGATAAACAAAAGCAATGGCCACAGATGTCATCACATCACAGAGCAACGTGTATCTTAGTAGATATTTTTCTCGGGAATTCACAAGGAATTGTTAAATGTCAGAATACATCCAGTTCTGGAAAGGTAAAAGTGATGTGGTCCACTGGCCAACACCCAGAAATCAGTAGTTTCCAATGGGCCATGTTATGTGTTAATAGATTGCTGACTACAAATACGGAGAGTGAGTAGGTGCCATTTCCTCAACAAACACGCTACTGTTGAGTTGTGGGTTTCAGTACACAAAACTCATTACTTTCCCCCTTAAACATGTCTGACCACAAGAAAAAATGAATACAGAATAACAAAACAATTTTAATAAACAAACAATTTAACAAATATTAGACACACTTCAAGAATGTGGTAACAAATGAATACTTAATACAACAAAGAAAACAAGACTAGTCTTGTTACACTGTTCTCACACAGAACGTGTGGCAGGAGCACTCTCTGTGATCCCTGACTCATCTCATATGCCTTTTGCATCCGGCAACAGTCTCTAGCAAACTGAAAACTGTTTTGCTTTCCACATGAATATTATTTGCTGGCTTCTAATTCTGTGATATCAAGCATTTGCTTGCAGTGCACCTTTCCAAATTCTAAATTACCCTAATGGTGCCACATCTTTAATTAAAAAGGACAAAATCACTGACTCTGTCATGTGGAAAACAATTCCAATTAAAGTCCGCCTTGTGCAATTCACTGCATTAATAACTAAGCAACATTTGACAACTGTGGCATACAGCAACCCTCGCCTGTCAACAGATCATGGACATGAGATACTTCCAAAGCCAACACTCTGTTTCTGTCTCTTTGATTGAACAGAAACAGAGGCAGTGGAAAAGGCCGTGCCACAGCTAAAGCGGTTAGTCGCTGGCTTCCCACTGCAGTGGCCCAGGTTCGATCCTGGGTCTGGTCAAGTGGGATTTGTGGTGGACAAAGTGGCACTGGGGCGGGTTTTCTCCGAGTACTTCGGTTTCCCCTGCCAATCTTCATTCCACAAAATTCTCAATCATCATAATCACCTGGGGCAGGTACAATAGGCCAATCAGTGGTCACCATGCCAAGTGGACCCAGCTGGGTTCCACCCCCCACTAAGCGGGGGAAAAAGAAGGCAATGGAAATATGGCATCACATCCCATCGATGTTATCACTGTAAAATGTACTTCAAAAGTGGAGACACAGGCTGTAATCTAACAGCACAAAAACACAGAACTGTACACGTAGGATTTGAGTTTCTCACAGCAGTGGTTATGAAGAGTTCTATCTTCTGGCATATAACACCATGTAGTCCATTGAAAGATGACTACCTTCTTCACACTGGTTTCTTACATGACTTATACTTCAAGCCTTAAGATGGAGGCGATACGTTCCTCTGAAACATCAGCTGACCTTCAATTGAATACACAGCATTACATCCCAAAAGGCAGAGTTCTTCAGAGAAGTGTACAAATTGCACATGAGTATAATGATTAAAATACCAGAAAACTGATCATGATATATGCTTTGGAAATGTACGGATTACCAAGTTCTGTGGCAAACCATAGTTTCTGGATGATATTTCTACAGAAACTGATTTTAACCCATTTTTTTCAAACTTAAAAAGGTAATCCATGTCTTAAAGGAAAATCAAAGTAAAAACAATTGTATTACAGCCAGGTATATATATTGTTATTTTAGGAACATTTAAATGGACCAAATATTAGCACAATTTAAAAATGTGGACACAGCAAAAAGCTTGACCTTCAAAATGTTCCCTGTTTCATGAAGGAAAGTTTTGAAGATTCCTGTTTTGTCAAAGAGTTTATGTACATAAACACCAAGAAAAGGTAATAATTATATTAAAGCATCCTGTTGCACTTCTCACTTAGTGTTAATTCTACAGTCTTATGTGCAACAATTTATTAAAACTTAATATAAGCTTGGGGAACCAAATATCAACAACTTAACATCAATGCAGAAAGACAGCAGTTTCCTCACCCACAACTTTCAACACCTGATGATGCCCAATTGGGTTGAAACATGTTGTGAAAACTTTTAAAGTGACTAGCTTTTATAAAATTTTCATAAATTGTTGCAGATAAGACTGTAGGTTTAACACTAATCAAGAAAAGGATTCATGATGTTACATAGTACTGTCATACTGAGTGACGTGGACTGCAAGAAAATCTCACTTCACTGTCCTCTTCTGCATACAGCATCAAAGTTCTTGTCACAGGGTATGGAGAATGGATTTGTACTAGTATTTAGGATTTCCTTAAAATAAACCCTGAGACTTGTGGATTGACCTGTGGTTCTCTGTAGCCATTCCCTCCTCAGTACACACACTTCAATTCTGTACAATTCAGATGACACTTGGCGTGCTAAAACAAACAGAAACAAATAATATAAGGATCCAGTTAAGACTGGGCTTTTCTATTTGAGAAAACTGGAATTCAAATTATTAATATTGTTATTTTGTGACAGTATACTGAGAACCGATGTAACATCAGTTCATTCTGGTACGTAAATATGCAATTCTACTAAACACAAAGCTACATCAGCTCTTACCCTGACAATTTCTTCCAACCACAATTCCAAATTTATTCACCTATAGTAAGTACAAGCCAAAAAAAAAATAACTGAACACAACCATTCTCAAGTTTCTAAGCAGTTAATACAACAGTCGATCATAAAATTCCAGGACTAGCCTCAGTACATGTCAGTAAAAAAAGTAAAGGTATCTCTGTAACAGTCCGTGGGAGCCCATAGGGTTGTGAGATGTTGAGGCTCCCACATTTTCTAGACAATCGGCTCACAGATGGCAGTGAGGTTGTCAGCCTTACAGGAATATTACCCCCAGGAATATTCCTGGTACCATTCTGTTAGAGACTGAGTTGATCCCAGGGCCATAGTGCAGCAGGAAGGATTAGCTCAACTGAAAAAATGCACCTCACCGGTAATTGTTCCTATGGCATAGTACCTTCACCAACTAGTAATTCCCCACATAGCGCCACAATTTTTTGTTTACAGAAAAAAACAATTAGAATTATGGAAGGATGTGGGAATAGGGTTTCATGTAGAGACTTATTTAAGAAACTACATAATTTGCCTCTGACATCTCAATATTTATCGTCCTTATTGATGTTTGTAGTTCAACATACAGACCTTTTTATAACAAGCATTAAATGTCACAACCTATAAACTAGGCAAAGTAATAATCTATATATTCCACAGGCAAACTTATCCATTTATCAAAAAGGAGCCTATTATTCAGGGATAAAAATCTTTAACCAATTACCCTTTCATATTAAGAATGTTAATGGTAACATAGTTAAATTCGAAACCACTTTAAAAAATTTGTATACATAAATTCATTCTACTCATTAGAAGGTACTTTGATCAATATTGAGAGTATTTGTAATAAACATATCTGAAGGTAACATTTATGGCTCACTTGCGTATTATATTTCTAATTTATGATTTTTTGTTCATTGTAAACCCATTTTATAATGCCTGTTTTGTTATAATTGTGAGTTCTATGGGTACACTGCCAATTAATCTCATTTTCTGTAATCTGAAGGATTTTTTTTACTATTTGTAAATAATAATTATTTGTTTATTGTGGATTTCTTATAAAATATGTCTGTTCTTAAATTACATGTTTCTGACTTTTTATTTATGTAATCTAAGGTATTAACTATTTATATTTTATACTGTTGTAATGTTCCATGTAAACAACTTTTGTAATTGGTCTGTATGTACATACTAAGTAAGGACAAGTTCTGTATCCATCTTGTGAATGTCTGGAATACTGAATAAATACTAATACTAGGCTACTGCATGCCACCACATACCAGTAAACGGAGGCAATATATCGGAGATATGTTACCAAGTTTCATATTTCACCCAAGCTGGAGAATAATTGATGCTTTATATCAGTTATGAGTTTAACAATGTTTTGCGTGCACATTGTCACCTGTATTGCGTTGCAATATCTCTACATACTTTCAAGTGAGAGATTTCAGAATGAGCTTTCTTCTAAGTCACATTTAAACTGCAGCTGACTCCCTTACTTCAAAACCAATTTCCCAAAAAATGGTTCTGACAAACACTGTACACTCCAAACCACAGGTGACAACATGTTCGTAACAGCTGTGAAATGGCTGCTTGTGCTTAACACAAGCATGATTCCACACAACCTGATTGTCAGTTACTGATAGAGACTGTCCTGTGATTTTGGGAATTAATGCTTTATTCTCTACTTTTAACCATATTTGTCACTTACCTCTTATTTCAGCTTCAGAGTTGGCCTGCTTCTAGCCAGACCTAACAAGATAATGATGTGGCACAAGTGTAATGTGATGCTGCTCAGATATGTTGATGGAAAAGTGTTCCAACACAGTTCAATGATTCCAAGGATGCACAGCCTACCAATACTTGTAAAATGAGTAGACCAAAGAAGATAGGGAAGACTGTGGAAGTACCAGACATAGAACTGGTAATGCAAGGACCTACTGCAGGCTATGCCAATGAGGTTGGCAGTGAAAAGTGGCAGCAACAGCAACTGTGATGCTGTGTCCATATTCACCTTTTCTGTGCGGTTCGAAAGCTGTCTCCTCACCTTCTTCTCGATACCAATTAGCGTAGCATAACTTTGAAGGCAGGTCAGCGCAGAATTATAGAAGAACAGAAGTAAGGTTATGTGCAACACAAGGAGCCCCATATGAAAGTACAAACTTGTGAAAATGTCCTCTGGCATAAACCTCCAATTCACCGTCCACTCATACAAAAATACACGACCAAGGTTGAAAGCACCATGAATATAAGCTATAGGATTAGTCAGAATAAATGGCATACCAAGAAGAATCTGAACAGACGCACATATTGTCAACTGTATTAATGTTCCCTTCAGGCCAAGGCATGTTAAGTACATCAACAGAATGGCTGGTGCAAATAGCAGAATATTCATTTTCACTGATACTGCCATGCTATATAACAAACTTGCCAGGCTCCATTTGGAATCTAAGAAGAGATTCACTGATGCATAAAACAAAACCATGGCCACGGGATCATTGAATAGTCGCAGCACGAATATTGAATGGATGCGATACGAAGAACAAGAAGTTAGAACCAAAACATAAGGAGGCACTTTCTTGCTTTTCATGTAAATTCTGAATACTAAGCAAAGAAGGGAGATGTACAAAGAAGCGAATATATACTGTGCAAGTCTTATATTTTGTCCATGATTTGTGACGTAGTACAACACAGTATAAATATAAACAAAGCCTGCTGGATAAACAAGTGGTCCTGTGTCACCTTTCAGATGCGTGTAATCAAAAGTTCCATTCAAAACACCCTCCACTTCCTGCATGTACGCCACCCAATCAATCTCTGTGTATTTCACTTGCTGGATAACTAGAATATTGACCACGACTTCTGCCAGCAAAAGACAACATGCTACAAAAGTCAATCTATGGGGATCAAATACCAGTGAATACAGAAACTGTTTTGTTAAGTACTTCTCGAAACACAGCTTAATTACTTTCAGCACATTTCTTTTACCAACAGCATTACTTTGCCTACCATGCGGCGCCATGTTTGCCTCAGACAACTTTCATTCTCATGTCTAAGTTTACAGCAATTTGATGGAAGCCGGACTTCCCTCCCATCTACATTTCGATTCTAAGCACGCTTCCCATTGCCATACGTCGATGACGTTATCGGCAAAGACGATATGTTCCATGTAGTTTTAGATATAATTAGAATCATTAGTACAAAATAAATAATTGCCGGTAGCATACGGCGTAGAAATGGATTGACGGCCAGTACTGCCTGACATCTATTGGTGGGCGAAATAACTGATGCACTCGCGCTACCCGCTGGGATGCCACATAGACCACGGTAGGCTTGCCCGAGTGGTAGCATTATGTAGCAGCGTGTGGTTTTCGAGACAGACGAACAGAGTTAAGGGTAAAGAGACTGTTTGTTTATATTCGACGCATCTGTTTTGCCTCTGAAATTTATGGCTCCACAATTCAGAAGCAAAATACGGGAAGAGAATGGCTGAACAAGCTCTGTAAATAGCAACACTGTGTAAATACTCTGTTCAGCTGCACTTGAAACACCAAGACGGGCAAACTCCGAGATAAAATGCCAGACTTCGAATTCGGAAAGTTTCTGGGGTACCCAGAACTTCGGTACCCATGACCAACATTTGTCGTTCTGTAGGTGACGGTCAGTGCAGAGAAAATGAGAAGCTAAGCTTCGGGTGTCCCCCGCCCGCTGGATTCAGAATTGCTGCAGATGTCAGTTAACCCAGAACGTTAAGACGAACATCGAACTCCGGCCCACCTCCGTCAAAATATCTTTAAAAGCTACTTGGAATACTGCCGGGCACCGTACGCGAAGTATTTATTGTAATCAATTGAAAACATTTAATAATAATTTTTAGAATATTTAGCAGTTGAGAATTAATTACAGAGGTGATTTATTATTGATAATAACGACGGTCAAGGCTATACGCGAGAACAAACGAATTAATTTCCTTCAAAGCCGAACTTTCAACTCTCAAGTAACTGGATCCCCCCAGTTGTCTTCCTTATAACCTCTTTGAACGGACCGAACAGAAAACACAGCCCCCAAAAATCACTTTATTGTTTTAGGCTCGGGTTTACCAATCTGTTGCCTATAAAAGGGTTACATCACCGATGTTGAGTTGTTGCGTGCGTGTATGTAGCGGGCGTTACCTAGCAACGGCTATTGTGTACAGGGGTCACCTCGTAGCAGCAGGTCTATATGCCACAATATGTATTTCAGCGGTACCTCGTATTCATTCTAGGTTCCGGCAGTGACAAAGCAACTCCTTAAGACATTAACAATTACCGCATACCCCTTTCACTATAAATTCCTCGTTTCATATGTCATACTTAAATCCATACAGCTAATTTAATCATTCAGTAATTAATATGTCATCGGCCTCTTCAAAGTCGGACAGCTAAAGAAACAGCGAAAAATATCTCGAAACGTGTTATTACCCATGGCACATTCAGAATGGATTTGTAGGCCGACTGCTTCCATCACGTGCAAAAGTGACGTTTGTCTTTAGAGTCATGCTTACCCTCGACTTTGTAGCACTCAATGCATTGAACGTCAAATAACCTAGGACCGTGACAATGTAAGAGCCGATTCATGGCCTTGCGTTAATGCTTGAAAGGGGGGGATTGGGTTTATTTAACGTGCGCTGTAACATTGTAGTTAAGCACCCTGCTGTACACGTCACATTTTACAGTAGTTCCTTTTTTTTGATATTTTATATATATTGATATCTAAAGGGCATGAAAATTGCTATAGATACAAAGGTTTTCGAGATATACAGCCCTCACGGACTATACCACGATGTACCTGTACTTTACGTATATTGGGCCGCGCCATAGCTCAAGCGGTTAGGTGCTGGCTTCCCACCGCGGCGGCCCGGGTTCGATCCCGGGGTCTGGTCAAGTAGGATTTGTGGTGGACAAAGTGGCGCTGGGGTAGGTTTTCTCCGAGTACTTCGGTTTCACCTGCCAATCTTCATTCCACCAATTGCTCCACAATCACCCTCACCTATCATCTGAGGCTGGTACAATAGGCCAGAAGTCGCCGCAGTACAAGGGACTTAGTCCCACCCCACTAGCAATAAAAAAAATATTTTACGTATAAATTATATTTGTAACAGGCCGTGGAGGCCCATAGGGTTGTGAGACTTCGAGACTTCCACATTTTCTAAACAATCGGCTCATAGATGACGGTGAAGTTGTCAGTCTTAAGCGCCGGCCGCCCTTTACTGGTACTCATTTCTGTTAGAGGCTGAGTCACCTCCAAAGCAATTTGCCGCGGGAAGGATTGGGTCAGTTGAAAAATATAATGACCTCATCGGGAATGGAACCCGTATCCTTCCGGCTTGTAGCGTGGTGCTTCAACCAACTGCGCTAATTTATACGCACATATATAAAGTGATTAACGTGTGTCATTCTCTGCCGATTTTTTTTCCTTGGCACTACAGCCCCAGTGGGCCTAGGCCTACCTCCATGAACTTCTCCGTTCACTGCGGCTTTTCTAAATCTTACACATTCGGTAGGACTCCTTGGGCGGGTGATCAGCTCGTCGCAAGGCCTCTACCTGTACACGAACACAGAAAAACGCACACACACAAACTAAACATCCATGCCCTGAGTGGGATTCGAACCCACGATCCCGGTTTCCGAGCGAGCCAAGACAGTACATGCCTTAGACCGCTGGGCTACCGTGACCGGCATGTCTACCCATCACCACTCACATTTCCTGCAGGAAATGCAGGCAGTTCGGTCGTAGGTCGTGTTTACATGTTTTGCCGCAGTTCTTTCAGTTTACATGTTGTCTCTCACGACCTTGATATATTTACATTTGCCCTGACATGACAATATTCGCACTCTTTCGTAACCAATCGCGAGTTAGGTATCGGCACAACCCAGCAAGACTGGGATCAAAATAAATATTAAATGAGGGAGGTTGATCGAGCTGAAGAGGTATTCAGTAAAGTAGTTGTCACGTGGGGGGCCTACGACATAGGCAAAAGTAAAGTTTTCCCTGCGCTTATCTAATTAAGAACTACGCCATGAAGGCGTGTGAGGGAACTGATGTAAAGATCCACGTATTCTTAAATTCTGCACTAGTTGGAATTGTGGAATTGAATTATCAGATACTTTCCCCCTCCCAATGATTTTTGAAGGTCAAAAATAGCTTTATCCCCAAAATCGATAGGTAAGTTTCAAGCTTAATTAGACCTAGAAGAAGTGAGTTGAGTAAAAACTTGTAATTACATGAACTGTGGTCCATATCATGGAGAACAAATTGGTTTTTTATTGGAGTCTCTCTAGCTTCAGTAGTTATCGAGATATAGAAGAGAATGCAAACCTCCATTTCAGCCGAAAACGCGTTCTTTTGTATTATAAAAATGGCTGTACCGGGAGAACCGAGCTCATTAATTTTTTTTTTAAATATTTTTGAAGTATGAAAACATGTAAAAAAAAAGTGTACAAAATATATTTTTTTTAAATGGTGGAGCGACTTATCTGGATGACTTCACACGGAATGACCCTGCACTGTGTGTGGTGTTCCTTTTAACCCTACCTTCTTTGACTGAGGCCTACACAACCACGTATTTCGATTGCCAGAGTGAAGACTTTATATTGCCTAACTGTACGTAATTTTTCGACTTGTACTGAGAGACTTGTTAAGAACATAAGGAATCAACGCGAAATTTTATATATTCGCTATCTTCGTTCACATGCTCATTATTACGGTCACAATTCTGTCTCGTTCAGGGGATTCGGAGGCCACTGGACTGAGTTTTATAACTCGGAACAGGGGCAAAGGAGATAGGCATATAACGTTTTATATATTAATGATATTGTAACAGTGGTTTCCTAAATGTTGATTGCAGCCTTCTGAAGATGGTCAATCCGACCGAAACAGGTTAAGGATAATGAGAAAGTGAAATACAACTTTTATTAATCAAGCACACTGGACGGTGTTGCGAGTGATCTTGTAAATAACGTTGTAGTCGGAAAACCTAAAGAGAAGAGTCACTTGGAACACACAGCTTCAGAATATACTGGTATAGAGGAAAATGGATCTAACAGACACGGGGTGTGTGTGTGTGTGTGTGTGTGTGGGAGGGGTTCAGATAAGAGACTAGGGGCGGGCTCCTGTGGTGACAGTGGTGAAACTTAAAATTCCGTGGAATGGAGACAATTACATAACAAAGAACTGCGTGGTTTACATTCCTGCCCTCCACTTATTGGAGAAATTAAATACAAGCCGTTACAACGGGCTGTGAAGTGATGTGGAATTCGGAAGCGAGAAAGAAGTGAAAGGTTCTGGGAAACGGTACTTGGAACACAAATGCGTGACTTATATAATATTGAACTACAGGACTTTCTCAGGATTTGTGCTGGGATTGTGTGGATTAGATTCAGATGGCTTGAGTTTGGGTTTATGCGAACAGCGTCGGAGCTTAATGATGTAAGGTTCAGTCCGTTGCTACTCTGCGGTCGCATTTTTTTGCGAGAGGATGCGTTCCTTAAGACCTCGCATAATTCACCACAAACTTTGAAACAAATGCGATTCTTGCCGAATGTTCTATGATTCGCATTATTTCAAAGTTTGCGCATAAATCGTGACTTTGTTAATATATTTTTTATATATCGTAGCATTTCAAATTCGCATAAAATGTGAACACATTTTAGTACTTTTACAAGCAAACGTTGCAGTCTGCATTTTCGAAGCTATTGAGGGGGGGGGTCTTCTTTTGTAGAAGCAGAACAAGGAATAGTAATGACTTATAATAAACATCGTCAAGGAGCACACCTTGTTGGGCCTGTGTGTTTTGCCGTCGACGCAGCAAACCTAGGAAATAACCCGCTCACAATTATATCGTGTTAAACGTGCGCTTATTTGAGTTAAAATACAATTTTACTACATGTTTCGATTTCTCATGAAGGCATCATCAGGCGATACATTCCACAAACTTAAATTATTGAGTTTGTAATTTGCATATAAATCATATATTACAATTTGTCCATTTTATGATCGATTCATAATATTTTATGCACAGTATAGCTGTTATTCTGCTGTGTAGGAATGTACTGATTAGTTTAAAATGTCTTAATATCAGCCTTAAGATTAGTTTAGATATAAAAAAATTAGCGAATTAAAAGTTTATGTCACTATTAATTAGTATTAATTGTATTTAAATCCGAATAAACGCACAATTAACACGATAAAAGTGAGTGAATTACTTGGTAAATTGCCGTGTCGAAGGTAAAAATCAATATATATTATAATAACCATACAATCGGGTCTATCAGTGCACAGATCATTGCAGTCGTAATTTTAATTATCTTGTTTTGTAAGAGTGCAAAAGGAAAGGAACTCTTAGGGGTTCTAGACACACAGTTTACAACACAACTAGCTTACGCACTTTACAGGACTGACACGTTATTGGAATAACAGTTTTATAATAAGAGGTTGTGTTGCAGTAGGTTTGTCTGTTGTTTAAATCTGCCTTGAGATAATACATGTCTTCATCACATCGCTCCTTCAGCAAGATACTGTACAATCTCTGAACTTGTCCATGTTCTGCCTTCGCCATCACGGTGCAAATATGACACAATCAGACATCCTCCTTCCTACACGTACAATGCCCGAATGAGCAGCGTGCCGTTGACTCACTCCACCACAGATCACTTTCCGAAGACTTACGGAAATATCCGGTCGGCCGCTTACGGGCAGAAAGATATTAAGTCTGCGGAGCGCTCTCTCGTCACTTTACCGAACTAACCACTTATTCTTAGTCCGCTTTTGTAGCTCTTCTGTGATGTCTTGGCATTCTCAGTTAGTCGTCGCACATTGGTGTTAGCTGGTTAGGTTATCGTTGCTGTATGTAGTGGGGGTGGTACCGGCTAAATAGCCGCGCGCGGGAGTCGTGCTGTAACGTTGTGCTGGGTAGTAGTAGAAGTTGAATTTAACACTGCCTCGTGTCTAAATGCAGTATTAGTCCAATGTTTGTCTTATATTTTTTTCTATACGGACACTTCATTTGATACATCGCTTTTAAATGTTAACCGTGTATTCGCATCGCAGTGCATTTATTTTCATAGAACGGAACTTAACCAACATTTATTTGCCCGTATGTGTTGCAACCGTGAACCCGATAAATCCAATCACCATCGTACGACAAGTGATCTCAACCAGTTATGCCTTGAACTTCTGACAATGTCTCCCTGTTACATTGTGAAGAATTGTGTCAAGAAAGAATGTTCACTGTTGAAGTGCTGTTTCCTCGTGGATGTGTACAGAGTGCAAACGCAGGAAACACAACTTAAATTAGAAGACGTAAATATTAGGTATTAATCGGATTCAGAATGCTTATCCCACGATCCAGTATTGTCGCGAGTACATCACTGCCAACAATGCCACTGAGGGATAGGCCATTATTGATGACATTCTTATCGAAGTGCTGTATATGAAGAAATCTATTTAGGTTGACATAAAGAAACAGCGCTCTTTTCTTCATTTAAGACTTAGAACTTGCCGGTGTATAAAATAAGACGCAAATGACTTTCGGATTTTTCGGAAACCACATTCGGGGATTTCAAAATATTGTGCAGGAACCTTCACGTCTCTTTCCTACCGAATAAATACATGTAATAAGCATTTATGTGAGGTTATGTAAGAGTGGCAATAAACATGATTAACTGCCTCTTGGTACATTATGCTTATAGGTTAGAACAACTGTGAAACCGTGCGCCGAACACAGCGAGTTGTACAGGAACATTTCTTTCTGGAAGCATATTCATGAACCCAGAATTCTCTTTCTCGTATGATTACCACGCTAAATGAAACTTTCGTAAAACATCCAAAGATTTGGAATAGTTTTGTAGGGTCCGTAGGAAGTATGGATGTCTTCTTTCGTGAGCTTTATGCATTACTTTATGTGCAATAAAGCATAGTAGGATATATTGAACTCTGTAGCTATTTAAGAAGGCGAAAGCAGTGAAGACATGAAAGTTAATTATGCAAAATTATCCGTTCTCGATTATAAGTATAGAACGTCCTGAACACAAGACACAATGACGTCACGTTTCGGGCAGAGAGCTGTTGGCATAGCAGCCATTGTTGCAATAATATTGTTGACCGTCCTCATAATACTTCTGTGGACAGCTGTCGGCGCAGGCGTGTTTAGTTCGAAAAATGTGGCAGAAAATAAACCTCAAAGAGGATACAAACTCAGGACACATGATTATGAATCTCGCAGAACTGAAAATGCTGTAACTACGATTTTCGGCGGATACAGCACTCCTGTTGAGGGACTGGACGTCGTGACCTCGACGGCGACGCTGCTGAACGAGAAGGCCGACGACTACACCAAGAGCACTGGTGAGTTGATGATAATAAAATGTAAATTTGTCCCTGTGCTTAATTCCTTATGCACCATGCCCTGTAGATATGTCGGAAGGGGGGCGAGGTATAGCTCCACCATTCTTGACATCGACACTAGCTAGAGTGGTCAGCTTGACGCCGCGCCCTCTTTCCCCATTCGATAGGAGGCTGACTAGTCGCTAGCGCAGGCCTCGACGCCTGTGCGGAGATCGGCTCGTAGCCGGTCGCTATGTCGGCTGAGCCTTCCCGGCTCCTAACTTGCTCTTCTTATGTAATTATACATTTGTATGCAGCCAGAACAGGTTAGTTGATGTAGTGACAAGGCTAAGGGCTGGACAACCGAGGGGTCGGCGTTCGACTTCCGGTAGGGGAGCCCATAACGTCCAGACCAGCTCTGGGACCGCCCAGGTTCCAATACAATGGTTACCTGGATTTAAAGGCGCAGAGACGCTAAGCCGCCCTCTCACTTCCATCTAGTGTCGAGGTTAAGTATGGTGGATCTATAACTCAACTCCCCCCATACGTCTTAATGGCGTGGTGCTTAATTAATTAAGCCCAGGTATAACTTTAGCCTTTTCTTACCGTACATTTGCATATTTGTGTATTATGTACTTGGCTGCTGTGTTTAATGGTTAATATATACACTGTAACTTTTGGTATTCTGGAAGTAACTTAGTGAAGGATGAGAATGGTGATCTGCTTGCAGATTCTCACAACATTTTGAATAGGTGGAGGAACTACTTCTCTCAGTAATTGAATGTACGTAGGGTCAGTGATAGAAACACACACAGCGGAGCCGTTAGTACCTGATCGAGTAATTTTGAGGTTGAAATTGCAATTGCAAAGTTGGAAAAAAGTATAAATCGCCAGGTAGTGATCAAATTCCAGCAGGACTACTTCAGGCAAGAGGTGAAACATTACGGTCTGAGATCCGTAAACCGGGCAATTCTATTTGGAATAGGGAAGAATTGTCTGATCAATGGAAGGAGTCTATTACTGTACCAGTTCACAAGAAGGGTGATAAAACTGACTGTAGTAATTATCGGGGGATATCACTGCTATCAACTTCATACAAAATTGTATCCAATATTCTTTTCTGAAGGTTAAGTCTGTATATAGATGGAAACTTGGTCTCTGACTTTAAGGGAGGAACATAGACGGGGGTGTTTGAGAACAGGTGCTGATAGACGGGGGTGTTTGAGAACAAGGTGCTGAGGAGAATATTTGGAACCTACGACCGTGACAATGTAAGATCCGATTCATGGCCTTGCGTTAATGCTTGAAAGGGGGGACTGGGTTTATTTAACGTGCGCTGTAACATTGTATTTCAGCACCCTGCTGTACACGTCACATTTTACAGTAGTTCCATTTTTTTTAATATTTTATATATATTAATATCTAAAGGGCATAAAAATTGCTATAGATACAATGCTTTTCGAGATATACCCCACGGACTATACCACGATGTAGTGTAATGTAACAATTTTCATGAATTGTCATATGTCCGACGGAAATTCTTTGTGGCAGAAATATTCTTTAATCTCACGAAGGTGTGGTCTGTGTTCTGATGCACCCAATGACCTGTGAAGCTGCATTCAAGACTTTTTTTTTTTAAGATATTGTCACGTGTATCAGTGGCTAAGACACGGGTATGGATCTTCACCGTTCGTAACTACAATTCATTATAACACTCTCAGGATTACTGTAACTGTAACACATAAAGGCCGATCACGGCAGGCGCGCGCTCTGAGCCATGAACTGTCGGCGCTCGCTCGAACGCTGGGATCGTGGGTTCGAATCCCACTCTAGGCACAGATGTCTGTAATCTGTGCGTTTATTCTGTGTGTGCGACGGGCTGAAAATTGCTCACAGATGGCGGTGAGTTTGTCAGCCTTACTCGCCGGACGCCCTTCTTTGCCCCCAGGAAGATTCTTGGTACTCATTTCTGGTAGAGGCTGAGTCGATCCCGGGGCCATAGCACGGATGGGAGGATTAGGTCAATTGAAAAATCCAATGGCCTCATCGGGAAGCAATTTGTTATACTTGTCCAAATTTCCATTAATCTGTTTCGTGCTTAGTTCAAACAAATGATGAAAATTAAAATAAATGAGCCCAAAGGAACAGAAAGCATTTAAATGAACAAAACTGAATGTGGTCCCTCTTTAAGTTGTTTGGGGCGGTGCGATGAGTTCACCTCGTATGTCCGCCTGTCACTAACCAGCCCCGGATGATAGATTAGTGTGGGGCAGTCTGTGGAATGAGAATTTGCAGGGGAATCCGAAGTATTCTGAGGAAACGTGCCCCAGTGTCACTTTATCCACCACAAATCCCACCTGACCTGAGAAACCTGAGCTATGGCACGGCCATGCAGCCTAATTAGATTCAGAATATTTTGTTCCTTCAGCGGTCATGCGACTCTGTTCCCGCGCGGACGGGAAGTGCAAGGGCGGGAAACACGCCGTCACCTCGGTACCCTATGACACCGGATCTCATGTGTGCCCGTGTTCACAGCTACTGCGGTATGCAGTAAATCTGCTTAAAAAGAATTTGTATTGGAACTTGGTTATTTTATGTGTTTGCTTGTCGTCTGACAGTAGTTTTGTTAAGCACACTCTAACCGTCCGCCACTTAAGCTAGCTGTAACTGCCCTGTAGGATTTCGTCGGGGTGGTATGCAGACAATGATGGGTTGGATATGCAGAATGGTTTCGGGTTAACTTTAGTAAACCCACGCAAATCCGGTTACAGTTAATCCAGACGTCGGAATGTCAAAATGTTGTTCACAGTTGAGTATATAATTTAAAAAGAGACACAGCATTTAGGAAGGCAGACGAGTCACTTGTCTGTTCAGACAGTTTCTTCAGACCTGCATTATTACCTTCAAAAACAAGCACAATTTCTGAGACTTCTGTTGATGAATAAATGCACTGTCTTTTTGCAGTTTTTAAATAAAGGCTCTACAGTGACATTTTGTTATTTATTTTCATCAGCACTAATTATGTCATTAAATGTTCCATTTATTTGTGTTTTAAGTTTTTTTTGGGGGGTGGGGCACTGTTCTACAAGCTGGAAGGTAGCCGGTTCGATTCCCGATGAATTCACTTGATTTTTCAATTAATCTAATCCCTCCAGCCGCACTATGCTTTGGCTTCAACTCAGCGTCTATCAGAAATGAGTACCAGGAAACTCCCTAGGGGATACTGGGCGGCTGGCTCGTAAGGCTGACAACCTCACCGCCATCTGTGAGCCGATTGTCTAGAAAATGTGGGAGCCTCGATGGCTTACAACCCTATGGGCCTCCACGGCCTGTTACAGGGATAGGTTTACCGTTTTTTATTCGAGTACTTTTTCTTTTAGGGCTACCTTCTGCCCCACTAATCCGGATGACCTCTCACTTACAAATTGATCAAGATTTGGTAGCTGCTATGTGAAGTAGGACCAAGTGTGAAATGCAACTTTTAATCAGAATACAAGACTACAGCAAATTAATTAAAGAAACTAAATGAATGGCGTTAACATGCTCGGACAACCTCACTCACTAACACTATCTATCTGTCTGTCTATCTGTCTATGGCTCTACAGCCCTTTGTTGGGTCTTGGACGCTTTTCAGTTTCCTAATCTATACACAGTCGGTAGGACTCCTTGTACGGGTGATCAGCCCGTTGCAATGTCTCTACCTACACACAGAACAACACGAACACAGAATAAGAGCACACAGATATCCGTGCCTCTAGTGGGATTCGAACCCATGATCACATGTTCGGTTCGAGCGGGAGAAGACTGTTCATGCGTTAGACCGCGCCATCTCTAACGCCACTGAACTGAAGCACCGTTTTCAAGCCGTCAGTGGGAGCAAAACCAGCGAAATGCTTCCATGCTCACCAGTTGCTTTGCCGAAAGAGACAATACACATTATGTTCCTGTCAACGCGACAACAATTTCACCAGCTGGCGTTGGTGTCTAGGACGGCATATTTCGACACGTGTGCAGGTCCCTCTATGTCGTCGTAGACAAGGAAGACCACTCGCTGTGTTGACAGGAATGTAATGAATATTGTTTGCAGTGTCTGACAACAGGATGCAACGAAATGCGATAATATACATGGCTTGTCTGTTCGTGTGGAAACTCTGCTAATATGGTGATCACAACAACCACTCTAATTGAACCTTGCCAGACACTAGTTAGAATCATAAATACCTCATTTTAGGCCGCGCCATAGCTCAGGCGATTAGTCGCCTTGTTCCCATTGCGGCCCCTCGGGTTCGATCCCAGGTCAGGTCATGCGGGATTTGTGGACAAAGTGGCACTGGGGCAGGTCTTCTCCGAGTACTTCGGTTTCCCCTGCCAATTCTCATTCCATCGACTGCTCTACATTCATCATCATCTACAATCCCTCGCTGGTACAATAGGCCAGTTAGTGGCCGACGTACCAAGTGGACTCAGTCTCACCGCACCCCAAGAAACTAAGAAAAACCTTTTCAATGAACGACGCGACATACCGAAAACGCGTGGTCTGTGAAAGCCAGTCTCTCGGCGCTATTTGACGTAAAGCCAACACGGATAATCAGTTCCAGCAGCCGAAACAGATGAAGTTCACACACACAGCGATTTATGAGGAACTGTTGACACAGCTGACTGAATATGCAATATGGAACATTAAATCAGCCCACGGTGAATACCTGCAAACTCAATATCTCTTGCAGTTTGGCAGCAATTTTGTGGGGGTTCTGGGTCAGTATCCTTAATTTGAATAGCGCGTATTTGGTTTAAAATATTTTGGGATTATTATTTTATGCTCTAGTCTTTTTTAGTTTTTCGTTAAACGCATTACGGGCCCCGGCTTGCCTGTCGCTGTGTCTCTGTGTGTCTCCTAGAGTACAGTCTAGACATAGCGACAGGCCTCAGCGCACGGCAGTGTTCTAGAACTGTCTGTCTCAACAGTTCAAGTGTGAGGTTCAAGGACGCTGCGATATTGCTGACTGCGAAGTACTCTTCCC